CTGGGGGAGGAAAGGTGGGCAGCGTAGTCAGGGCTGAGGTGGAAAGGCGGGCAGCATAGTCAGAGCTGAGGCTGGAAGGGTAGGCCGAGGCTGGCTTCTGGAGACTCTGGAGCCTCTGCCACCGAATTAGGACTTCATTCTGCAAATAATGAAAGCCGTTGAACGTTTGTGAGGGAAGGAACACAAAATATGTGGTGGCTGGCTTGAGCTGTTCAATAGAAATCAAGTGTGAGTCACAAATGCAGCCCCATATGTAACTGAAAATTTTCCAGTAGCCACCTTAAAAAAGTCAAAAGAAACAGATGAAATTAATGTTCATATTTTTACTTCATCCAATTTATCCAAAATATCTTTTCAGTATGCAATCAATATATTATGAATGCAGCATTTCCCATTTCTGTTTTTCTGGAACAGGTCTTCCGAATTGAGTGTGTGTTTGACACTGACAGCATGTCTTTATTTGGAGCAGCCACCCTGCATGTGTGCAGTGGTCACAGGTTGCTAAGGGCTACTTTGTTGACAGTGCAGGTATAGAGGGTGGCAAAGGGGTGTATCCTATCCATAAGACCTGAATTCCTCAGTTTATCAGGAGTTTTATCAGGATAAAAAAGATTTTACCCTCCCTTCTCTCAAAAAGAGCATTCTGTGGTCGAATACGTGTTGGAAACTCTGAGCTCATCAAATTTTTCTGTAGAGTTTCTCACTGCCTGATAAGCTCATGTGCACTGGGGCCCTGCGAGCGAGATACACAGTCTGCTTCATTGTCTGGATTCATCTGACTGCACAGGACAGAAGTGTCAGGAGCCTATTTTGACATTTGCTGGACTGTGGAGAGCAGAAAGCTGGGCAGCCAGCAGAGGCAGAAGACAGAAGGAAACACCAAGAAGAGGAGAGGCGCAAGGGCTGAGAGAGGCAGACTCGAGCCTCCAAAAAGACTTTTCATCCAAGGCACCCGTGCTGTGGGCCGGCAGAGGAGGGTGCAAGCTCAGCAGGGGTTGCTGAACTTGGCAATGCCGAGGTCATCATTACCTTCCCGAGAGCAGTGTCAGGGGCGGTGGGGCAGAAACCAGAATCCCGAGTGGAGATGTGACAGGGAGAGCTGGTGAGAGTTGGCCATGGGTGTAAACCCCTCCAGTGACATTTGCCAGTGAGACCAAAGAAAGGCGGTGCTGAGGAGTGGGCAGGGTTGGAGGAAGGGTGCTTGTTGGTTGGTTTCAAACAGTGGGGTAAGAGGGACACTTAGCAAAGTTTATAGGCTGAGAAGGAAATGGCGAAGAGTGAACATAGAAAACGAAGGAAAGGGAGGGGCCCTGGAGGAGAGGCCAGTTACAGGCTAGCTTTAGAAAGAAACAGGACCCCTCCTTCCCTGACTCAGGAAGGACACAGGGACAAGTGGACAGACAGAGGGGAGGAAGAGGGGCCTTGTGTCTTTATTTTTACCCTGACATCAGAGGTAAGAACGTCTGAAAGTGAGGGTAGGAGTCCGGTTGGAAACTTAAACAGAGGTTAAAAATTTAAGAGCAGGCCAGGTGCGGTGGCTCGTGCCTGTAAATCCCAGCAACTTCAGGCGGCCGAGATGGGCAGAGCACTTGAGGCCATTAGTTCAAGACCAGCCTGGCCAACATGGCGAAACCCCGTCTCTACTAAAAATACAAAAATTAGCCGGGCGTGGTGGCAGGCACCTGTAGTCCCAGCAACTCGGAGACTGAGGCAGGAGAATCGCTTGAACCCGGGAGGCGGAGGTTGTAGTGAGCCGAGATCACACCACTGCACTCCAGCCTGGGCGACACAGTGAGACTGTCTCAAAAAAAAAAAAAGTTGAAGAGCCATCGTGATGAAATGCAAAAGGGTCAGCTAGGCATGGCATGCCAGGGTGTCCCCACATTGTCCTGCTAAAGCTGATGCAATGTATAGTCCAGCTTTAGAAACAAATATCTGAGGTTCTTCCTATTATTCCAAGGTATTATTCCAGATAGAGGGGCCAGCACTTGTGGTTTTTAATGTAAATCATTGTTTCCCGAAGTGTGATGTTGTATCCTCATGGTACTCAACGCAGTGGTACACAAAATGGACCTGTTTTATTTGAATGATTATATATTTGCTTTAATGATTATTAGAAGAAACATAATGAGCACATTTAACTTCAAACATGAGTACGTTTAGAGAAAAATATTAAGTAAATAATAATAGAGATGGAATGTGGATGTGGCGAAAGTCTTGAAAGCAGAACATGAAGTTTGTAAGACACTGGTGTGGGAGGTGGGGCAACCTTGGAAACTGGCCTGAGTTCCCTCCATCAATCACCTGGCCACACCGAGTAGCACCACTGGATCATATCAGGATCAGAGCCATTTCGCCAGGAGTCTGGTCACCCAGCCTCTCCTCCCTGCTCCACAGCCTCATCAAGCAGACGTTTGGATTAGCCTGTGTTTAACACTCAGTCACTCTCTGCAGTTCCCCCGGCAGAAGATAAAATACTGTCCCCCTAAAAGCTTAACAATTTTGAACATGACAGTGGCATTATGATTTATTTCTCTTTCTTTTCTTTTTCGTTTCTTTCTTTCTTCCATTCCCCTTTGCTTTTCTTTCCCTTCCTCCCTTCCCTTCCCTTCCTTCTTTCTTTCCTTCCTCCCCTCCCCTCCCCTTCCCTTTCCCCTTACATTCACTTTTTCCTTCCTTTTCCCTGTTCCTTTCTTTTCCTTTTTTTTTTTGGAACAGGGTCTCACTCTGTTATCTAGCCTGGAGTACAGTGGTGCAGTCACGGCTCACTGCAAACTTGAACTCTCAGACTCAAGCACTCCTCCCAGCCTTTGCTTCCCAAGTAGCTGGGACTATAGGCACATGCCACCGAGCCTGGCTTTTTTTTTTTTGGTAGTCACTTTGTTGCCCAGGCTGGTCTTCAACTCCTAGGCACGAGTGATCCTCCCGCCTCAGACTCCCACAGTGCTGGGATTACAGGCATCACATCCAGTCTATGATTTCTTTTTAGAAACACCAAACATAACCTGTCCTATTATTTGTTGTTGTTGTTCTCTGTGGGAGTAATTTCTTTAAAGCTGTTGGCACCATCTGTAGGATATAGAAAAGCTGTCTTCCTTAGAACTGTCTGTAAGCCCAGATCCATACAAAATATATGCAAATGCAAAGGAAAGTGGAAAGAGCAACACACCCTGCTGGATGCACGGTGTCCTGGCAGGTGCAGGGGTGCGCCTTCTCTCTGCTGCCCTTCCTGATTGCCTGAGCTACAGAAGGTCTTCCCTACTTCATTCGTCTCTTTCCCAGTTTTCTGACACAAGCACTTGCTGCCTCATGTTGTAGCTTGCTGGGTACCTACATGCTGTCAACCTAAATGACAGACAGAGAGGGAGACTCTAAGATAAACAGACGTTCATTTAGAATAGTTGTTGCACTGGGCGCGGGGCTCATGCCTGTAATCCCAGCACTTTGGGAGGCCAAAGTGGGCAGATCACGAGGTCAGGGGTTCGAGACCAGCCTGGCCAATATGGTGAAACCCCGTCTCTACTAAAAATACAAAAATTAGCTGGGCGTGGTGGCGCATGCCTGTGATCCCAGCTACTCGGGAGGCTGATGCAGGAGAATCACTTGAACCCGGAAGTCGGAGGTTGCAGTGAGCCGAGATTGCACCACTGCACTCCAGCCTGGGTGGCAGAGCGAGACTCTGTCCCCCACCCCTCCAAAAAAAAAGAATAGTTATTGCAGTGGGAATATGTATGCCAACAGGTGCATATTCAGAGAGGTAAAGGAGGACAAAACTTTTTAAAGGAAAAATGAAGAGGATCACATAATTTTATATATATATATATATATATATATAAAAATATCCTTGGCCGTGAGAATCAGTAACAAGGGTGGCACCAGTCCGAGGTTGGACAGGCAGCTGCTGGGCAGATAATAACCTTTGCAGGATGTTTTTGTGTAAGGTCACCATGGCCTTTATGCAAGGTTGTGGTTTTGCAGTCTTTTGTGATAGTTCTAGTTATCAAGCATTCATGGATGAGAACTCTCTCTTCATGACCTTGCCTGGCCCTTTGTCAGGATTTTTAACACAAGTGACTCCATTTTGATTCTGACAACTTCCACTGCTTTTGCTTTTTTTTTTCTAAGAAGGGTATCCTGAGGTATTTCACCACATCACTGTGTATAGACAAGCCCTCAGCCACTCGTTAAGTGACTCTGGAATTCTGTCACTTCATAGTTTGACATCTAGTTCAGCTCTGATGTGCCTGTAAATTGATCCAAAGTGAATGCAGTACCTCTCACTCGGATGCGAGGCTGCTTGTGACTTTCCTGTCATTTGTGGCTGGATATCGGGAGGGTACCAGGAGTTATTTGTTCGAGTGAGATGAGGCAGTGGTCTTCGGGGAATTACTGGGATCTGGGAATTTCAGGTTTTATAACCTTAGAACTTTCCTTTGAGAAATCTGGAGACATGTTTTTCATTTCTTTACCAGTAGCTCACCGTGAGAAATCTATTTTACACTTCGAATGCGTATATAACTAAACATTTCACAAGATTTACGAAAGCCATATGCATGGTAATTTCTGTTTGTTTATTTTTTAATGCTGGGCCTGACCAGCATTTTAAAAACCAAAATGATATAATGACCCAGTAATGGCTTATGACCTGCAGTTTGGAGTGGTCTGAAGCATCTGATTCATTTAATCATTTCAGTAACTTTGAAAAATGTCTGGAGATGGTGAGATTCTTCACACGCTCTGCACAGTTCCGAAAAGAAATTAGGAGCACATTGAAACGTTACAGACATTGCTGATTTGCCGCTTTGGAGCTGTGAGTGCCGGCTCATTAATGCCAACTCTCCGCGTACGCATGCCGCTCTGCAGAAGTTAGCAGCGCTCTTTTTAAGGCTGCGTCATTCTTTCAAAGCAGCATTTGTAAACCCAGCATGTCTGCTGACAAATGTCTATTTTCTACAAAGTTGACTAAAGTAATATTTTAAACTACCCTGTTTTTTCCACAGGGTGTGCTGATCTGCAAACCCTGGACACAATGCAGCCAATTGAGAGGAAAAGACAGGGCTATATTCACGAGCTGATTCAGACCGAAGAGCGGTACATGGCCGACCTTCAGCTCGTCATCGAGGTGAGGAGGCCGCTGCTGGCTAGCGCTTGGGGTATCTGCTGTCTCCCACAAGAGACGGTGGGAACCAGACTCAGGGCTGCTTCCACGCAGAGGCAAAGCAAGGCAGCACTTTGGATGTGTGAATTCACAGATAGGGATGGAAGCTCTCACACCCTCCAAATGCCGTCTCTGCCTGCCGGATAATGCTTCAGATTGAAAGTCTCTAGTGAGCTCTTTCCCCCAGATGAGGTCACTCAGAGTGAAGCGGGAGAACAAGAGGGCATTCGCATGGCTTCGCTGGATGTGGCAGGAGCCCCATCAAGGAAGGACGGGGATAGAGTGGATGGGAAGGGCCTACGGCAGACCGTAGCTTCCTCCGATATTTGCCTAATATCTGTTTTAACATCTGACATTTTCGTAAACTGGTATCTCTGGAGGAACTGTGAAACAGTGGAAGTGTTCACCTCATGTTTGTATCAGTTTGGAAAACCCAATGGGAGCATACTGTAAAATAGTTCCCAAATATCACATAGCTACTGTTTGTTTACACCAGTGACCTCTATGCTGATAACAGCTATCCTTATTCAAGTAGCACTTTAAAATGATTTGTGCTTCAGTGAACAAAATAAGACTTTCTATTTCTACTATACCTTCGTTCCCATGCCTTTCAGTTCCCAGTGTACAGACCCTCAGGTGAGAAGACCAGTTAAATTAACAAACCACCTGAAAAGAACAGGCGTCCCCCACCCCCATATACCCAACGGGTGCAGCGTATACCTGGCCATGCCTTTCATAGCAGAATGGAGCAGAGGCTGCGTCCTTCTGCGGCTGTTCCCCAGCAAGCCCTGCCCTGGATTCACTCTCCACCTTAAACGCAGGCCTAATGCCTGGGATATCCAGACATGGAATACTTGTTCCCCTCCCATGCAAACTATATGGCACTTCTCAGTTGGTGATATCTGTCTTCCCTGCAAGCCTGTGGCTCCCTGAGAGCAGGGACTGTGCAGCCTCCATCCTGTGTTCCCACAACTTATCCTGGCCCTTGCTCGGCCTTTCCGTAAGCAGTCAGTGAGTTGGGTGTGTTTATGTCTGCACCTCTCTGGCCAGGACAGATGGCCTAGAAGAAAAGCCCATCATTTTGACCCCCTACAAGGATCAGCCCTGCTGCTGGTCAGATTCCAATCCTAAGGGACTGTAGGTAGGTATGGCGGTCTCCCTAACACTAGGACAGAGGTGAGCAGGCACTGGGTGCTTGCCCCATACTCTGAGGAGTGAAGCGTCAGGTCCGGGTCCAGGATTCAGGGCGAAAAGCACCATTCACAGGTGAGGCCTTCTTATGACCATCCTCATGAAGATTCCCAGAGGCCTGACCATCTTATTCCCATCTGTTTACCTCACCAAGCCCGGCACAAAGCAGCTACCTGGATGGCTAGAGGGGCATGAACGAATCAGCGAATAAACAAACAGATGCACAGCCAGACGCTTCTCTGTCCCTCCACAGCAGCCTCTGAGCAGGCCGGCCGTCTTTCCAGGGCTGCTCTCACAGGAGTGGCCTGGTGTTTCCAGTGTGATCTGGAACTGTAAAACTCTCTTTAGAGAGTGCCCAGCACTTTTACTTGAATTATGTGAATCCATGTTCAACTCAACTCAGTAAACATGAATTACAAACCATGATGTGCAAAGGGCCATGCCAGAGAACAGAGATGAAAGCCAGTTCTTGTCCCCCAGGAAGTCAGAGTCCTGGCAGATGGAGAGAGGTACAGTGGGGCCAGCAAGGCTGAAACCGGGGGGTAGTGACCACCCCAGCCAGGAAGGAATTCCCAGTTATGCTTTGGACAAGGACAAGTTTGCTACTCCAGGAGGAGGATACGGAAGTGGGACGGCATGTATGGAGGGATTCAGGGGCCTACAGGCCATCCAGGGTGACTGGAGTGTGAAGTAGCTGAGGGCCAGGCTGGTGAGGTCGGCAGGGGCAGGTCTCATAGGCCCTGGAACCTCCGGGAGGAATCTGCGTCTTCTCACATGGACAGTGGAGAGCTCTGAGCGATTCCAGTGGAGAGCGGCATGTCATGGGCATTTTGGAAAGATGACATAGGAGAAGAGTGTCTCAGATAACTTCTCTATTTCCTTAAGGTGTTTAAAGTCATTCATTCCCTAGGAATCTCAGTTATGCAGTAGAAACTTAGATTTAGAATCAAAAAGAGTTGAATTGTTGAATTGTAGTCCTCAGTCTTTGTGACCTTGAGCAAGTCTCATTCTGAGCCTTTACTTCTTCATGGGTCAACTGGGAATAATAATACCTGACTCAGTTTCACCTCCATCACCTGTGAAGCTAATTGAGAACCCTGCAAACACACACGCATGCGTGTACATACACACAAGCATCTGCATATTTGTACATATCAGTGCTTTGTAAATCCTCAAGTGTCATGTAATACAGATGTAGAGTATTATTACTTCTTCCTCAGGAGCCAACTTCTGAAACGCACATCTGCTTAGAGTTATCTTAGGGGTGGCATAAGTTGTTACTCTGGTTCTCCCGTTGAATGTCTCATAAATTGTTGTCTAGAACTCTGAGATGCTCCGCCTAACAATGGCCTGCTTTCTCAATTCTGCAAGCTCATACAGTGCAGAGGTGTTTATGCCCTTGGCTCTAGTTAACCTTCATAACATCCCTAAGAGAGAAATCTGACAATCTCCTCTTAACCAGGAGATTACTAGAGTCAGTCCTTGGAATCAGCCTTGATAGGAGCTACGCTAGCAAAAAGAAAGAACATTATGCAATATAAAATGTGTCATAAGTATGCTTACTTGGATGATTAGCTTCAGTTTATGAAGACATTGTTTGATCTGGTTAGTTTCAGTTTATGAAGACATTGTTTGATCTGGTTAGTTTCAGTTTATGAAGACATTGTTTGGTTTAGACCACACGTAGGCTGTGTATCCACACTTAAACTAACTAGTTTTTCTATGTTTTGACTTTAGGTTTTTCAGAAACGCATGGCAGAGTCAGGCTTTCTCACTGAAGGGGAGATGGCCCTGATTTTTGTTAACTGGAAAGAGCTCATCATGTCCAACACGAAGCTGCTGAAGTGAGTCCTGAGCATCACCTGTCATTGCCGCTGACCCCAGAGGCCCCAGACTGAGACTCACACAAAACCCTCTGCAGGGGCTTCTTAGCAAAGGAACTTCAGCTGCTCCCTCAGGCTTGTTATTTTATTATCATTTGATGAAATGTCCTGTGACTGTAAGATACATAAGTATTGAAGAAAGTAAAGAAATATAACAAAATATTTTGGTAAAGAAAAGATTAAATCATTACACAACATATCTATGATTCCAAGATATAAGATGTCCTTGACCCTGGCAGGGCAGAAGAGTCAGAGGAGAGCTGCAGCTCACAGTGCAGGTAAAACTGCCTAGTTTGGTGCTCTCCTAAGTCTCCATCCCCATGTAGGTTCTGTTGTTGGGGTGACTGTCCATCCTTCGTGGCTGTGAGGACAGGCCCCCAAGGGAGGATGAGCAGTCCCAGCTTCCCTCGGAGATAGTGCCCCTCCGCCTCCACACCCGGCCCCTGCTGCTCCTGCTCCCTTTTTTCTCTTACAGACTGAAAATTTCCTTCTTCGTTCAACTGAGAACAAGTTAGAATCTTTCAAAAAACTTTGCCAAGAAGCTAAGGTGAAACCAAAACAATTCTAAAGGCCTTGAAACACACAAGTGTTTTTTTTTTTTTTTTTTTTTTTTTTTTTGAGATGGGGTCTCGCTCTGTCGCCCAGGCTGGAGTGCAGTGGCGCGATCTCAGCTCACTGCAACCTCCACCTCCCAGGTTCACGCCATTCTCCTGCCTCAGCCTCCTGAGTAGCTGGGACCACAGGCACCCGCTGCCACACCCGGCTAATTTTTTGTATTTTTAGTAGAGACGGGGTTTCACCGTGTCAGCCAGGATGGTCTTGATCTCCTGACCTTGTGATCCACCTGCCTCGGCCTCCCAAAGTGCTGGGATTACAGGCGTGAGCCACCACGCCCAGCCACCCAAGTGTACATTTTTAAAATTAATTTTTATTTTTATTATTTTTAGAGGCAAGCTCTCACTGTCACCCACACTGCAGTGCAGTGGCGTGATCATAGCTCATTGCACTCTTGAACTCCTGGGCTCAATCGATTCTCCCACCTTAGCCTCTGGAATAGCTGGAACTATAGGTGTGCACCACCATGCCCAGCTAATTTTTCATTTTTTGTAGAGACAGGGTCTCACTATGTTTCCCCAAGCTGGTCCCGAATTCCTGGGCTCAAGCAATCCTCTTGCCTTGGCCTCCCAAAATGCTGGGATTAGAGGCGTGAGCCACAGTGCCCGGCCCACCCAAATGTATGGACTTTATTTACTTTTTTTTTCTTTGCTAACATCACACCCAGGTTGGCTTGACCAGCAGAGCTTTTGGCCCAGGCTATCTCCTCTTCCTCTCGACTTTTCCTTCCCAGTGCCAGAGGGTCTCAGGTAACTCACTGGTTATCCTTACCATTGCTCTGCCATCTGCCATGGGATTCATCCTTCAATTAGCTGAGACATTCACTTAGAAACACAGAATGAGGGTGTGTTTTTTGCAGGGCTTTGCGGGTGCGGAAGAAGACCGGGGGCGAGAAGATGCCGGTGCAGATGGTTGGGGACATCCTGGCAGCTGAGCTGTCCCACATGCAGGCCTACATCAGGTTCTGCAGCTGCCAGCTTAATGGAGCAGCTCTGCTACAGCAGAAGACAGATGAAGACACAGACTTCAAAGAATTTTTAAAGGTAATTCCACTCTGGGCCTTGCATGGCAGGCTCCTTCTGAGGCTGGGGGCAACAGCACACAATAGCCCAGCAGGGAATCCCGGCAGTGGAGAAGGGCATCCCCATCAAAGGAAACACCAGGACGGCAGATAATTTTCCCATTGTTTTGTGTTGCCTTTTTGTAGACCTGATTTCTTCCTGGCACTGGGACCATAACTTTTTCCCCATCTAATAACAGAGTGTTTTTTTTTTAAGCATACTTACTTATCAGCTACTTTAGACTCCCAAGAAACACCCAGAATGTCACTTTCTTAATTTTGTAAATTGCATTCATTTAATACCTATCTTATTCCAGAAAGAGTATAAAATAGCTTACTTTTTTTCTTTTTTTTTTTGAAACAGAATCTCGCTCTGTTGCCCAGGCTGGAGTGCAGTGGTGTGATCTCGGCTCACTGCAACCTCTGCCTCCCAGGTTCAAGAGATTCTCCTACCTCAGCCTTCAGAGTAGCTGGGATTATAGGCATGTGCCACTATGCCTGGCTACTTTTTGTATTTTTAGTAGAGACGGGTTTTCACCACGTTGGCCAGGTTGATTTCGAACTCCTGACCTCAGGTGATCTGCCCACCTTGGCCTCCCAAAGTGCTGGGATTACAGGTGTAAGCCACCGTACCCGGCCCTAAAATAGCTTACTCAAACGTATAAAATGCAACAAGATAAAATTTAAAATAACTAGATGAATAAACTGGGACAAAAGGAAATGAGAGTAGGAAACAGGAATTAGGATAATATATAAAATGCATATCTGTGATCCTGTACATATACCAGAAGTGTGCACAGACGTCATCAAAGCTTCCAGAAACTGATGAGCAGAAGAAGAAAGGATCAGTTCCATGATGCCACGTCACAAGTTAAATATGAGAAGTAAAGCTACAGCTGTACTCAGAGAGAAAACACTGTGTATAATGTAATGAGTCAACAACATCCTTCATATAAGTTATCACAATAGAAAGTCACATTTTGAGAAGTCATTTGCATTAATGTTGTTCAGTAGTAGAAACTATTATTATAGCTGTTAAAATGGTAAGGAAATAGAAAGTAAAATCTGTTTTCTGGCTTTTTTTCATATTTCCTGTTGGGTTTTTTTGTTCATGAAATACTGCATATTGGGATCTATTAAACAGCCATATCAGTACTTAAGGGAGAGAGTACATAATTTAAACATTTTCATTGTCAGAAAAGAATAGAAAAGAAGAAGAAACTATAAAGATGTTTAGGCAGAAAATAGAAATTCCAAAAGGAAAATGGAGGCAATAATAAAGATAAAAAGCACAAATTATATCAATATATCCAAGAACTGGTATGTTGAAGAGAAGCAATAAAATATAACTGATGAATCTAACAGAAAAAGGAAAAAACACAAGTAACAGTCAGAATGTATGTAAGGAGATCTCTTAAATTAAAGCGCATGTAATTTCAAAAGACATGCTAACAAATGTGAAAACATAAACAAAATGTGTAATTTTCTATTAAAACCTGAAAACTGGCTCAATAAGAATAGAACATCTTTTAAAAATAGAAAATCTTACTATTAAGATACTGTTAACCAAAGAGAAAATTGAGAAACTTACCCCAAAAAGGAGCTGGGTTCACTTGATGGATTTAACAGTGAATTCTTTCCAACTCTAAAAGAATAGATTATTCTATATTATACAAACTGTCACAGATCACAGGAAAAAGTAGAGAGGTCACGTAGTTCATTCTATAAAGCAAAAGTAGCCATGATTCCAGGCCTGTTTAATTAAAACCCACTACCTTTTACAAATACAGCTGTTAAACTCTTAAAGTAACAGTTCATAAAATGAAGCATTACACGAAAAGAAGAGTCTGTCATAACCAAATAGGATTATCCCAGGAGGCTATAGTATACCATGCTTAGAACAAGAGAGGCTTTAATTGTGTGACCAGAGGCAAGTTATTTAACATGTAGGAGCCTTCAGTCCCCTCATCTATAAAAGGAGATTATCATACAATACTTTTAAAGGACTTTAACTCAGAGACCAACACATTATTATTAGCATTCAATAAATGATTATCGTATTTTTCCTTATGATCTCAGGGATGCAAAAATGATTCAATATAAGGCACTGAGGACAGAGCCCTTCAATTTGTGATAAGGGTAGGAGGCGGGGAGTTGCCTCGAAATGAACTGGAAGAAACATGGAAACCAAGATCATAGACTTAAACATTCATCAGAATAATGAGATAAACTGAGAATTGTTAGTATATGTGCATGTTTTAAAACAATAATGATGTAAATAGGATTTCAATGTCATCACAATTGTAACAATAGTAAAAATAAATAAAAATACTGCCTCATAATGAAAGGCCTGCTATAGCTTACCTTAAAAAGCAAAATCTAGCAATAAGCTGTGTTCTAAAATGTTACTTTTAAAAAGACTCAGAAAAATATGAAAATAAGAAGCACGAAGATCCTTGTGACAGCAACATATACAGATATGGCCAAAACAAAAGGGGGCAGTTTGAATATCCAGTAGTGGGGAAATGATCAGGTAGGCTACAGTGAGTGTGCTTTTCCGTCATTAAAAACTGCCACCCTAGAGCAGCAGCTGCTCTCTAGGCAGTGTACCAGTGCCAGGGGTAGAGGCAAGTAAGATGTGGGCCCTGGGCCTGGCGTTCAGTCGGGTGTGGAATAGAGACACTGAAACACGATGCCTCTCCCTATATCACCTGGTGCACATGTGGTGTGGCTAGGGAGGGTCCTGGAAAGGAGGGAAGGTGTCCCAGGGGAGAGCCTGGACAAGGGGAAGCAGGACTTGAGTCTTGAGGGTCGGGTGTGAATCAGCCCCGAGAAGACAGGGCAGGGACAGTCCCAGCAGAGGCTCTCACATTCGTGAGAAAGCTGAGGAGCATCCGCTGAGCTTGGCACGTGAGGTGAGATATTCCTACTGTGAACCCAATAGGTATCATTTTAGATCCTGAGTTATTAAAAGAAAGTTGAAGGCCCTCACTTTACTACAGTGCAAAGTATCAGTGTAGCAAAATTACAGTTCTATGTTGTGAATATATACACATTTTAAAATAAAACATGCACCTAAAAAAAATTATAAAACAGTAAGACACACTTTGGGAGGCCGAGACGGGCGGATCACGAGGTTAGGAGATCGAGACCATCCTGGCTAACACGGTGAAACCCCGTCTCTACTAAAAATACAAAAAATTAGCTGGGCGAGGTGGCAGGCGCCTGTAGTCCCAGCTACTCGGGAGGCTGAGGCAGGAGAATGGCGAGAACCTGGGAGGCGGAGCTTGCAGTAAGCTGAGATCGCACCACCGCACTCCAGCCTGGGCGACAGAGCGAGACTCCGTCTCAAAAAAAACAAAAACAAAAACAAACAAAAAAAAACAGTAAGACAAGGAGAAACATACATAAATAAAAGAAATGTGAAATCTAAAAGGTGATCAAAGACCGATGCTTCCTGTGGTCGGAGCTATGATTTCCTCACGAGCCTCGCTGTTGTTTTGCAGAAGCTGGCATCTGACCCGCGGTGTAAAGGAATGCCCCTCTCCAGCTTCCTGCTGAAACCCATGCAGAGGATCACCCGCTACCCACTGCTCATCAGAAGTGTGAGTGTGCAGGCCGGGCGGTGGGGTCTGAGTTAGGAACAGGATGCGCTGAGGTCCACAGAGGCCGGATCCTCAGGGAGGCTCTGACCGTGCCACCTCACCCTGCACACAGTGTGACGCCGCAAAAGCGATCCCACTGTCCCGGGGACCAGACGCCTCTGTGTGTGTGTGTGTGTGTGTGTGTGTGTGTGTGGCGTGCGCGCACAGAAACACGCCGAATCCTTGAAGTGGGCAAATCAGAGAGGAATCCAGTGTCACTTGGGTAACCTGTCATCCACCTTTCAAGAAACTCCCCAGCATCTCAAAGTCATAAGTGTACTTGTCCAGGCAGGGAAAGGCCCCTCCAGGTCTCCAGTTTTGGAGCCTATCTGGAACCCAGAGAGAGACCAGGGCAACCTTAGACTCCAGTCTTTCCTCTGAGATCTGCCTCCGTCCACCCCTGAACACCTTTCCTAGATGTCCCAGGAGGCTCCACTTGGCACGTCCTAAACAGAGTTCATTTGTGTCCCTCGCTGTATTCGGCTTTGACATTCCTTCTAAAATTCCTTCTGGCTTTCTTTTCCATAAGCAATATGGCCCTCTTGAGCCCATAAGCCTTCTAAGGAAAAGGCAGACTTTACAAAAGATTACGTCACAATTAACCATTGATTACAGTAACTTACAAAGAAAAACAGCAGGCATATGATAAGCCTGTTACTTCTATTGATGATTCCTTGACTTTTGGTCTGTTAGCTGTGTGTCCTCAATATAGACCTCATGTGATAGATGCCTGTACTAAACTGAACCATAATGCAGGTTCACAGCCCCTTCATTGCAATACTTGGGGCCAGATGTGTTTCAGAATTCGGAATGTAGTTCAAATACCATATAATATATGACTCCTCAACTGAGCCTTAGGGCAGCACTTACAACCAGACACACTAATATTCCTACAGTGAAACATAAGAACAATCGCTGTAAGTAGAGTAAGTAAATATATCTCTTCTGTTTAGGTCAGATTTTGCCACCAAATAGATAGTGAGTAAAAACTTTAGGCTCTCAGGCTTTTCTGCATTTTAGAATTGTAAACGAAGGACTGTGGACTCATCCGACTAGAGTGAGAGAGTCCAGACAGGGGGCGTCTGGTGATGGCCCCTAATTTCTGGAGGGACCACATACGTTTGTGTTCTGGCCTCTAAGCATTCACAGTTGCAGCATGCCTCGTTTGAAATCGCTTCAGAATGAACAGAATGCATTTCTTCCACATGCCGACAATGTGATTTTATTGTATTTTTCCTGTGGCAGGGGAGTCATTGCTTTCATCAGGTATTTTCAAAAGGATCAGTGACCCCCAGATTGTGATGAACCATTGTTATTCAGCAACTTCACGCTTACCACAGCTGCAGCCAGTTTACTCTGGAGGGCTCGCCCTTACATGGCCTAAATTTCGGGAGGAGTAGGGAGGCTCCCGCCTATCACCAGGAGCCAGTCAGAGAGCAACCAGAGACCCACACAGTTCAGAGCCTTGATCCGTTTAGCACTGTCACCTTGTCGCAGCAGCGTTACCTGTCCCTGTGTCCCCAAGAACGTGTGGGAGTACGAGTTTCTCAAGGGCGGAAAGCGTCGTCTTGTTCCCCGCCGCACTTCAGGGCATGGAAGCAGCCCGTGACGGGGGGTTGGCGGAGCGGAGCGGTCCAGCGAGGGTCCCGGGGGGCGGGTGAGAGACGCAGCTCCTCCCATGTGACGCTGCCCACTCTCTTCCAGATTCTGGAGAACACCCCGGAGAGCCACGCGGACCATTCCTCCCTAAAGCTGGCCCTCGAGCGCGCAGAGGAGCTGTGCTCTCAAGTGAATGAGGGAGTTCGGGAGAAGGAAAACTCGGACCGACTGGAGTGGATCCAGGCGCACGTGCAGTGCGAAGGCCTCGCGGAGGTCAGGCCTGTGCGGTTAAGCCGTGCGCCTCCAGGGAGGCTGTGGGTGGGGAACCAGCTCCGAGCCTTCCCTCGCATGGACAGTCTCCACCTCAGGCAGCCTGCGTGGACTCACCACCCTGCCCCTGCAAAGGCTTTCTTTTTTTTCTTCTTTTTCTTTTTCTTTTTTTTTTTTTTTTTTTTTGAGACGGAGTCTCATTCTGTCGCCCAGGCTGGAGTGCAGTGGCGAGATCATCTCGGCTCACTGCAAGCTCCGCTTCCGTGGGTTCGAGCGATTCTCCAGCCTCCATCTCCCGAGTAGCTGGGACTACAGGCATCTGCCACGACGCCCAGATAATTTTTGTATTTTTAGTTGAGCTGCGGTTTCACCATGTTGCCCAGGCTAGTGTTGAACTCCTGGCCTCAATGGATCCTCCCGCCTCGGTCTCCCACAGTACTGGGATTGCAGGCCTGAAGGGCATTCTCCTTTCTCCTAAGGAGAGAAGACTGGGATTTTTTGTTTTGAGTTATTTGAATTCAGCTGGTAGAATCAGTGTTCTGTGGCTGGAAGTAATGATTTTCACTGGGCCAGTTTGAACTCTGAAGAGTAATGTATTTGAGGATCTTTCATGCAAGGTGCATGGTTCTAGCCACACTCCCACCTAGAAAACTCCACTACAGTATCCTCAGGCCCAGGGCACTGGCCTCAGGGGCACTGGATGGTTTGTGCCGGGATTTAAAAAGTGAAATTTTCTTTCTCTTTAAGCAACTTATTTTCAACTCTCTCACCAACTGCCTGGGGCCCCGGAAGCTCTTGCACAGTGGGAAATTATACAAGACCAAGAGCAATAAGGAACTGCACGGATTCCTCTTCAATGACTTCCTGCTTCTTACCTACATGGTCAAGCAGTTTGCTGTTTCCTCTGGCTCTGAGAAACTTTTCAGCTCGAAGTCCAATGCTCAATTCAAAATGTATAAAACGGTGAGTATCGCACGTCTGGAGGTAGCATCAGGGGCCTAATGAGGTGTCACCTCTATCTTAAGGGCCTTCCTGGCGGACCCTGAGCTGACCTTACGGGACCCTCCTTACCTGGTTCCAGCTCGCTGGTGCTTCCTTTGCTGCTTCCCACACATTCAGGCCCCATGCAGCTGGGCTCTCCCCACCCGCTGCTGGCCATCAGCCAGACTCCAGCGGAGATTCTGGCCTCGCGTGGCACCTGGGCTCACCGCCGTCCGCATTCAGCACTGGGTCTCTGTAAGTCGAGCCCCAGCACGGCACCAGCGTTGGTAGCAGAGAGAGCCTTTTGCACCAGCCGTCGTGGGTGCTCGGAGCTCCTGTCCCCAGTCCCAACACCTGACCCACCTTGATGGTGACTTTTCCAGAAATGGAGGCTTCATTGTTCTTACAAATGGGGGTTTCATTTGTTCTGTGTAGAAGACCTTTGGCACTAGACCCCTTTCTCCTTCTCAGCAAGGCTCTTTAGAACAAACAGAACTCTCTCTGGTCATAGGCGGGTGGAGTAGAGTTCTGACCCATCTCACAGCCTATGTTTTGGCCCTAATTCTTTCAGCCCATTTTCCTGAATGAAGTCTTGGTGAAACTGCCCACAGACCCTTCCAGCGATGAGCCTGTCTTCCACATTTCCCACATTGATCGGGTCTACACCCTCCGAACAGACAACATTAATGAGAGGTCAGTCCTGACCATGTGTGGCCTGCCTTGAACTCTGGGAGAAGGCCTGGACGTCTCCCTCTGCCATAAACCCATCTCCAGCTGTGCTCAAGCCCCACTAATTCTGTATCCTGAACCTCTCTTAACACGCCCCTCTGCTCCGGCCCCACGGTAGGCCTTTGTCACCGCAGCTGCCCCCTAACATGCTTCCGGGCTTCGCTCCCCACACCACTCAGCAGCCTTCCCAAATGGCAGATTGGCACCTCAGGCCCTGCTACAGTCCCTGCAGGGGCTGCCTGCAGGTGACAACCCACTGTGCTTTGCTGGTTTCCGAGGCCTCCTTGGGCCACAGGTCTCAGCCCCCCGCCCTCCACCTGCAGCTCTTCGCCCCCAGACGCCCTTGTGTGAGTCCCATCCCCGCTGTTCCCAACTTCCTTCAGCCTGCAGCTCCAACAGCGCCTTCGGGGCGCCCATCCGGGAGGTGCTGCTGCTCGTGTGTGTGTGCTAGAACCCCTCATGCCAAATGTCATCCGTGGGGCCAATGCATTGTCTCCGGGTCCCACCGCTTTGCGAGTGCCTGGCATTTTGTGGTCAAGAAGGGGCATTAGCAGCTCTCAGCTGGATCCTCCATTAGCATAAGCATCTTTCAGTTGACTAATATCAGGTCTTTGATAGGAAACTTGTGAAAGCTGAGGTTAGCAAAAGACTGAAGAACATGGCAGAGCTCTGGGGCTCCGGGCTGACCTGTGAGGGTGGGATGCCACCAACGGCTGCCCCTGCTTCTCCCGCAGGACCGCCTGGGTGCAGAAGATCAAGGCGGCGTCTGAGCAATACATCGACACTGAGAAGAAGAAGCGCGAGAAAGCTTACCAAGGTATCGGGGTGCCTGGAGGGTGGGACGCAGCCCCCAGGTGCCCTAGGGATGCCGGCCACTGCTCCTGCAGTCAGGCTGATGAAATGAAGACAGGCCTGAAAGACCAGACCTGCTGCGGGATCAGACCAGAGAGCCCTCCCCTCTTGAAGCTGCCACTGCAAACCTCCCTGGGGCCCCTGCCCACACAGACACGGGCTGGCAGTGCCAGCTCCGGGACCTCCCTCTCTGCAGCGCCTCTATCCCTCCCCCTCCACTGCACCTTCTCCACTCCTTTCTCTCCATGACTCACCTCACCTCTGCTTGGGCTGTGTTGCTCCATTACATGCCGCTCCTGTGGTCTGTCTCCCCGCAGCTCCTGAGCAGCCCCTGCTCCTCCTCAGCCTCCTCCAGGGCCTGCCATCCACCCTCTCCCTTTGCAGCCAGGGGGCCTAGACCCTAAGTCTGCCCTCTCCCCATCCTTCTGCCCCTGCCTCCTCCCCCTTCTCACCTCACCAGAATTCAGTCCACGTCCTGTCCCCACCAGTGACACCAGTGGCCTAGTTAGTGGCTCAGTTCACTTTCCCTGCCCCAGCTCCCTGCACTGATGACAGTCACTGAAGCTCTGCCTTCCCTCTGGACCCCATGGCCGCCTTCCCAGCTCTTCTTCCACCCTTGCCCAGGCCTCTCCCCCGCCTCTGTAGCTCTCTGCTCGGGGACCCCACCGACCCCCAGCTTCAGGGTCAGGCTGGCCACACTCCCCCAAGCCCGCGCCTCTGAACAGCGCCCTCCAGAGAGCCACCTGCCCCACTGCTCCCGCATCACACGACTTTTCCCAGGGGACCACCAGCCTCCCTCCAGCAGCAGCTCCTCCTCCTGGGACCCCCTGTGGAACGCAGTGTGGTCCCCAGCCACCCAGGCCCCTCCCTGGCGCCTCACACCTGGTCAGCTGTGCTGCAGTCCTCCTCCCTCGCAACTTTCCCATCACCCTGCTTTCCTGTCCCCGTGTCACAGGCCCCCAATCTCCCACCCAGGCTGCAGCACAAGGCTCTCTTCCTCTCTGCCACCCATCCTCTTCATTTCTGGAGTATTCTTTTTTCCAGAGCTGCTCTTAGTACACCTCTTCCTGCTGAAGTATCTTCCTTATTGCCTCCCAAATTAAGGACACATTTCTTATCCCGCGCTCAGGGCCCATCCCCACTGTTACCTGCCACCCAGCCCCATGCCCAGCTCTTTGCTGTGCCCGGCCCATCCAGCTGCCTAGTTGAGCAGCCCATCGTTGCCCTGCCTGGCCTTCCTATGTGTGCTCACCCTCCAGCTGAAGTGCTCTGCCCCCACCTTAAATTCTTCCCATTCTTCGAGGCCCACGTCAAACACAGCCTCCTCCATGACACCTTCCCTCTTGCCCTAGCCAGCGTGACTTCTACCTGGAGCCCCCACTGTCCTGAGGCTGCGATCATCCTCCGGCTCTCCTCCTCTGTTGTCTCTGCTTACGCCCCCTCAGTCCCTGCTTTTCTCACTTAATGGCCATAAGCTCCCTCAAGGCAACTCCCCCAGCATCGGGCCCGGAGTGTGACTTATGACGGTGGGGCTCCAGCTTTGTTGCATTGGTGGTGTCCTCTCTGTTCATGGCACAGATTACTCACCTGCTCAGTGGAGCCACAGTGGTCTTTGTAAAGCACCTGCCACCCTACCCCGCCCCACCGAGGCCCTCCGACCAGAACTCCCACATTCTTCTCCAGCCTCCACATGAATGCCAGGCCCCAACCTCCCTGCTGCATCTCCAGCTGTGCCAGGCCGGCCTGTGGCCTCCACCCCACGGGGTGGGGAGGGTTGTGCTCTGAGCCAGCCGCACCTCCACCTTCCTCCCCACCCGGCCCCCCATGCAGCCTGTCCTCCTGCCCGGGCCTCCCGCCAGCTTCCTGGCTGCTATAGTTGCAGCTCTTTATGTTTTTTTATTCAGGTTTCCCCTATTTTGTTATATACTCCTAAAAGGTATGTTTAAAACAGCTTTTGCTAATTGAATGTTATTTTAATGGTATTTTAAAAGCTTGCTGTTGAAAAATCAATGATTATTTCATAACGCATATAATGATCTCTTAATTGGCCAAAGATGTCAATCCAGTTTTTCTGCCTGAGTTCTGCTTCCCATCAGCATCTGCATATGTTGCTGTGCCTCGTCCGTGTGTTCAGTCCTTCCCACATTTGTCGATTACTTTGTGCCAGGCTCTGTGCTAGGCTTAACTGGGCCTGGACTTTGGTATCTGATGTTTAAATTTTGACCCTGCCATTTAGCAGCTCTGAGTGGATCACACTACAGTCCTTTCTAAGCCTCAGTGTTTCTCATCAGTAAAATGGGGAGCTACCTTATCAGATAATTATGCAGATAATATAACTTACATAAGTCTGGCACATGCCTAACACAAAGTAAGTATCCAATAAATGTTAGCTTCTATTAAGTGCTGCACAAATACCCTGTATTATTTTATTAATATTACTATTTGCTGGGTACTTGAGGGGTTAATACAAGGATGATCGAAACACTCCATGCTCTACCCTGGCTCCTGTCTGGCAGAGGATACAGACATTATACAGGATTTCAGACCCAGCAGGCTGTGGGCTGCCCATAAGCCAGGGATACTGGATGCAGAGGAGGGAAGGGATCTGGGAGGTAGATGTGGGATCAGACCTGCATCTTGAAGGATGAGTAGGATGCTGATGGGCAGAGAAAGCAGGCAGGGCAGAAATAGCAAGCAGGGCCTTTCTAGCAGGCGACACAGCCTGGGGAAAGGCACAGGGCAGCCAGATGCTGGGCTGTTGGGCCCAGGGCAGTGGCAGATGGGGACAGGGAGCCAGTAGTGTGATGGTTGGTTTGCAAGACAGTGAGGGTCTGCATCCATGGAGAAGAGATGAACAAGACTTGTCTTCCTCTCTTGTAGCCCGCTCCCAAAAGACTTCAGGCATTGGGCGCCTGATGGTGCATGTCATTGAAGCTACAGAATTAAAAGCCTGCAAACCAAATGGTAAATCCTGCTTTCATTCCTTCAACAGACATGGTAACTGCCCTGCCCCAGTTTTTGCTGATGACTTTTTGAGATGGAGTCTCGGTCACCCAGGCTGGAGTGCAGTGGCCCAATCTCAGCTCACTGCAACCTCTGGGGTTCAAGTGATTCTCAAGGCTTAGCCTCCCGAGTAGCTGGGATTACAGGTGCACACCACCATGCCTGGCAAATTTTTGTACTTTTAGTAGAGACGGGGTTTCACCATATTGGCCAGGCTGGTCTCGAACTCCTGACCTCAAATGATCCAACCACCTCGGCCTCCCAAAGTGCTGGGATTACAGCACTTTGTCATTGACAAAGTGCCACCGCGCCCGGCCACTGATGACTCTTCTGAACACTGAATAAAGGAATGCTTTCTAATAGTGTGTCCAGTGCCACTAAAATGCACATATTGGACCAATATTCTCATCACTGTTTTCCCAGTAAGTGCCAGTGCCCGCCTTCCCTAGTGTGTGTGCCAGGGAAGCATGCAGCAGGTTGCAGTGACACTCGCCCAGCCTTGCTCCGTGGGGAGTGGTCCTGGTGGTGGAGCTCTCAGCCACTCCCCGGTTAATGCTGCTGTCAGCACTGGGAACTTGAAGACCCTGTTACTAGACCACAGGGATACGGTGCCCGAGGCAGTGGCTCCTGCTGCCATGGTCTTGAGTGACCCGTTATCTGGGATCCTGCTTCTGCTCAGGGAGGGCACTGTCAGTCACTTCATTTTACCTGCATGCACCACATGTGTCTGTGGTTTGTTTTTGTTCAGGGAAGAGCAACCCATACTGTGAAATCAGCATGGGCTCCCAGAGCTACACCACCAGGACCATCCAGGACACACTCAATCCCAAGTGGAATTTTAACTGCCAGTTCTTCATTAAGGATCTGTACCAAGATGTGCTGTGTCTCACCCTGTTTGACAGAGACCAGTTTTCACCAGATGGTAAGTGTCGCTCAGCCAGGGGATCTAAAGGCTTTCCAGTTTCCTAGATCCTGGAGTCCTGATCCAGGGGCCTCAGCTGTGTGCAGACCCCTTGCCACTTCGGGGAATTGACACAGGCCTGTGTCATCTCGCTTTGGCAGGAGGTGGGTGGCCTTCCTCAGGGGAGGGGGTGGCCTCAGATAGTTTCAGGCCTTTGACCCGTCACTCTCTACACACACGACGCGAACACCACTCCTGGAGCATTCTCAGAATGGAGATTTGAATTCCACGTGGCAACTTCTCACACATAAACCTGCCACCATTCCCCACACACCCATTCATGATATTCAACAGCCATGAACCAGAAGAAGTTCCTTGTTTCAGATGTGAAGGTTTTATGAATCCTACTTCAGACACTCTTCCGGATGTAGCTCTTTAATGATTTTATAAAGAAGAAAGACTCTGACTCTCCTCTGTTTATTCACCAGATTTCCTGGGTCGTACTGAAATTCCAGTGGCCAAAATTCGAACTGAACAGGAAAGCAAAGGCCCTGTGACCCGCCGACTGCTACTGCACGAGGTCCCCACCGGGGAGGTCTGGGTCCGCTTTGACTTGCAGCTTTTTGAGCAAAAAACTCTCCTGTAGGGGTTCTAAAGGACAGCACCAGTGGGACAGCCCACAAGGCTGGGGCTGGAGAACAAGAGACTGCGCTCTCTTAGGGCTGAGGGAGCACCATGCAGCTTCACCCCTCACAAAGCCACGCACGCTGGGGGCTCTGTTTTCCTGCACACTAAATAGCTAGCAATCTATGCAAACACCTTTCCTAAAAAGAAACCAAACCCCGTAGTACAGTGCCTTGTCCTAGTGTTCACATGTTCAGCTGTGTTTCGATGCCAAGGTTTCCATTTTCAGGGCTATAAAAAGTATTACATGGAAATGAGGCATCAGACCACCAGACGTTACCGCTCGGTTGAATGTGTCCACCGTGGAGTGGTTTGGTGACGCTGTAACCATTCCACGCCAGTGACCTCTGCTGGGTCACAGCCACTCAGGAGGGGAAGGGTCAGGATGAGAGGCTGCAGCCTTGACGCTTGCGCAGCCTGATACTGAAATAGCGTCTACTCGTGCACTGAATAAAAACAGAAACTTGATCATTTTTTTCCTGATTAGATTTTATCAGTCTCTGCTAAGACAATATAGTCTGGAGTATAAGTGGGAAAGCTTGATTTAAATACTGTGAACTCTAATAATGTGGAAAATATTTTTCAACTTTAATTTTCTGAAGTATAAATTATTTATGTAAATTCATTGTTTTTGCATTTCATAGGACATGCATCTTTAAGCTTTATCATTGCCAATATGTACAGAAAGAGAATAAAGACATATGTTTATGGATGGAACTTCTGTCAAAGTCTGACTGATTTACTTTCTATATGAAAGCTTCTTTTTTTCTTTTTAATTTTCTCAGCCAGATGAAAGGCTCTTAAAAGGTACCTTCAGAAGTTGCCTATAATGAAACCAAGTTTCCTTCCTGGTATGTGGGAAAAACCAAGGACAGAGTGAGGATGAGGTCAGGAGACCCAGCGCCTCACCTTGACTCTGCCACTAATTTGCTCTGTGACTTTGGTGCATCTACCTTATGCTTCGGGTGCTGGGTTTCTTTAATGGGTGAAATGGATGATCTCGGTGGGAGCCACTGACCCTCTGTGTCCTTCAGCTTGCCTCATCAAGTGATAACCTCAGGGTAACTTACAGTAAAGAAATGCACAAAGGTCTTAGACACTAAACCCCCTGATTAATGAGTAAAAACTGGGAAAAGATCTGTCCTTTTGTTGTTGTTTTGAGACAGAGTCTCACTCTGTCACCCAGGCTGGAGTGCAGTGGTGCGATCTCGGCTTACTGCAACCTCCGCCTCCTGGGTTCAAGTGATTCTCCTGCCTCAGCCTCCCAAGTAGCTAGGACTACAGGCGCCCGCCACCATACCCAGCTAATTTTTGTATTTTTAGTAGAGATGGGGTTTCACCACGTTGGCCAGGCTGGTCTCAAACTCCTGACCTCAAGTGATCTGCCTGCCTGAGCCTCCCAAAGTGCTGGGATTACAGGCATGAGCCACTGTGCCCGGCCAGGTATGTCTTTTTGAAGGACTAATTTGGATTGCTAGGGCCCTGATTTCTAAGGGAGCAGGTCTCCAGGCAGCTGGAGGAACCAGGAATGATTCAAATGTCCCAAAGGCTTGGGCCTCCACCATAGCCCCTGCTTCTGTTTAAACATAATCGCTGGACAAAGGACTGGGAAACAGAACCGGCACATTCAAATTTAAAAATCCATCACTCACTCACTCAGCTATAGATCCTGGGCACTGATTGGTTAAAATATAGACATAAAAAAGGTAAGAGATGTCACTGGATATATGAAACTGAAACAACTGAACATACTGCTTTTGCTTATGGGAAAGTCTGGCTAGTCAGGCCCAGTCTCATGGAACAGAGTGAACTGCTGGCTGTCTCTAGGGTTGGGGCTTGTTGGTCACAAGGCCAGCCTGGCTGATGTCAGCAGCAAGCCTGCCCCTGATGACTCAAAACCAGCTCTAGGCTTACTTGGAACGAGAGCTACAGAACCATCCTGTGTTCCCAGGGCTGCAGGGACTGTAATCCTCACTGTGGCGAGTGCCATTTCTCCACTGCTAGATATGAGAGGACTCTTTGGTCAGATTTAGGGCAGAGGAGCCTCAGGACCAGAGTCAGACAACCTCTATGAAACCACAGACCACATGGGCGTCGGCACACCTGGCCACTCCAGCTGTCCCCTTATGCCTAGGAGTACACACCTGCCCCTTGAGAAATCAAATGTAGGCCTGACTTTTGGGAGGATATGGGATGTGCCTGAGTCTCCATACCCCGAGTCTCCATATCCCCCGAGTCTCCATACCCCCGAGTCTCCATACCCCAAGTTTCCATACCCCCGACTCTCCATACCCCAAGACTCTGTACCCCCCGAGTCTCTGTACTGCCTGAGTCCATATACCTCTACCCCAGCAGGACCTGGCATATGTGCCTCATGCGCCCAGACGTCTCCCCTCTGCTGAGGACCCCCTCAGCAGCTCCCTCCAGTACTCTTCAGGAGCAGGTGCTGTGGCGGGGGAGGGGCACTCCACTCTCTTAAAGGCAACCCATATTCTGAGCAATTTGATGATCAAGTCTGAGTGCACGTGAGGGGGGGATAAACATGCTATGTGGCACCTGAGGGACTGGCCTGAGAGAACACTGCCACCTCTGGGCTAGGGGACTGCCACCTCTGAGCTACTCACCAAGCCTCAGAGCATTGTGTGTTGGGAGAGGATAATAGTGTCTTACTGCGAAAACTTTTCAGTGAACAAAGTACCTCACAGGGCTCCTGGTTCACAACAGGAGCTCAATAAACAAGAACTACTGTGATTTGGGTATTTCTTGCAATTTATTTCCACTTCTGGAAAAAGAAAGTATGTTTAGAGTATTTTAACTGTTGTACAGACACTGCCAAGTCAAGTCCACCAAACTTCAGTACCAGGGGTGGCCCTGCCTGGCCGCCTTCTGCAGGGAAGCCAGGTGCTGCCCCAGGACCTCAGCTGTCATCACTCTTCTTCCTACAGGCTGAGGACCCCTGTGCTGTTGGCTGTCCCCAGCAGCCCAGGAGCGGGGTCTCTGCTGTCTGGTTCCTAAAACCTAGCAACAGAAGAGAAGGGCTAAGTGTGGTGCAGGGATGTGGGGCTTACAGGTGCAGGGAGGACCCCGCTGACTCTGCCCCACACTCAGCCCTCCTGCTAGAGCTGAGACCCCCATTTCAGGCAGGTTTCCAGCCAGCCCTCTTGCTTTACCTCTCTCTCTCTCTCTCACTCACTCTGGTTCCCGCAACTCTCAGACAAGGCTGTCTGTATCTTTGGACTCCACAAAGAACTAATCTTTTTGTGTCATGTACAGCAGGGATGACCAGATGTCCACAAAATGCTCTCCTGCTATTGTGGGCAGACCAGCCATGGAATACTTTTCCCCGTGCCCCTGCACCCTACAGTTAGGGACAGACATGGGACTGGGTCCTAGCCCAGGGAACATCAGAGGAAGTGACATGCCGCCTCCAGCCCGGACCACATACACCTGACTCCCAGGAAGAACTCATCCACGATCTCTTCCCCTTTCAGGTTGACAGGAATGAGTTCCTGGGGCAACCTCGGAAGCCAGGTGCTGAAGATGACACAGGCCCATGAGATAGGGCCCCAAAAGACCGCACGAAGGAGGGACAGCCTGCTGACCCACTGGGACGTGCCGGGACATAAGCAAAACTTAACTGCTACTGCATTTAAACCTCAGTCCACTTGGGTCTACTAGTGTAGTCCACCCAACCATTAAGGGTAGAACTGACCACAGTCACATAAGATCTGATATAAACAAGTGGGACTATATCAAACTAAAAAGCTTCTGCACAGCAAAGGAAACAAAACAAAAAGGCAACCTACAGAAAGGGAGAAAATATTTCCAAACCATATATCAAATAAGGGGTTAATATCCAAAATACATAAGGAACTCATTCACCTCAATAGGAAAAAAGCAAATAACCCAATTTAAAAATGGGGACAGAGCCTCAACAGAGATTTTTCCAAAGCCTCCCTCCCGCCCCTCAAAAAATGTACAAATGGTCAACAGGTATAAAAGGTGCTCAATATCCAACATCACTAATCATCAAGGAAATGCAAATCAAAACCACAATGAGATGTCCCCTCACACCTGTTAAGGCTGATTAAATGGAAAAAGTTGAAAGATCACAAGTGTTTGCTTGTGTGGGACTGTTAGATAAGAGTTCTAAATTTCTTTTCAAAGAGTATGTCAGTATGTTCAACTCTTTGGCTTCTACTTTTAAACTTCCTCATAAAGCAACCTTTTTCGATTACCTGCTCCACCCTAACTCATTCCAATTATCTGCTACCTGCTCTGCCCTGACTCCCGCCAAAGCACTCACCCCGTCATTCTCTTTAAATTCGCCAATCGGAATTAGTTTAGCCTGTGCGGTCTAACCCTAGCCAATAGGGGACCGACACAGCAGCAGGGGCCATGTGCATCAGGGATAAGAACCCCCTCTCCTCCCTTGTCCAAGTGTGCGCTCACCATTGTTCCATCTGTAAGGGCGCACCCTTCTATCCAAAAGTACCTTGCCTTTTCAAAAAGGCCGGCCACGGTGGTTCACGCCTGTAATCCCAGCACTTTGGGAGGCCAAGGTGGACAGATCACAAGGTCAGGAAATTGAGACCATCCTGGCTAACACGGTGAAACCCCATCTCTACTAAAAATTAGCCAGGCGTGCTGGTGGGCACCTGTAGTCCCAGCTACTTGGGAGGCTGAGGCAGGAGAATGGTGTGAACCTGGGAGGCGGAGCTTGCAGTGAGCCGAGATCAAGCCACTGCACTCTAGCCTGGGTGACAGAGCAAGACTCCATCTCAAAAAAAAAAAAAAAAAAAAAAAAGTACAATGGGGACAGTAAATTTAGATAGCCATTACCAATTTTAGTTGGTCAACAACAATAACTAGAAGTACCTTGCCTTGCTGAGAATTAAAAAGAAAATCTTATATTCGAGTGCTATTTCTTTTGTGGCACCGAAACTTTACATATAACAGGACCCTTGTACACTGTTGGTGGAATGTAGATTACTACAGCCGTTACGGAAAACAGCATGGAGGTTTCCAAAAACACTAAAAACAGAATGACCATACAATTCAGCAATCCCACTTCTGGGTGTATATACATATATTCAAAGGAAATGAAATCACTATCTTGAAGGGATATCCACACTCCCGTGTTCATTGCAGCATTATTCACAATAGCCAAGAAATGGGAACAACCTAAGTGTCTGCTGACACGAACTGGTAAAGAAAATGCATATGGTACACATACCACGGACCATTAACCCGCCTGAGAAGAGAAGGAAGTCCTGTCATTTGCAACAACATAGGTGAATGTGGAGGATGTTATGCTAAGTGAAAGAAGCCAGGCACAGAAAGACAAATACTGCCTGATCTCATATTGTCAGAGGTGTGTGAACCAGGACAACTCCATCTTAAATAGCAGCTGGGTAAAATAAGGCTGAAGCCTACTGGGTTGCATTCCCAAACGGTGAGGCATTCTAAGTCACAGGATGAGATAGGAGGTGAGCACAAAAGACAGTTCATAAAGACCTTGCTGATAAAACAGGCTAATAAAAAGGAGCCAGCCAAAACCCACCAAAACCAAGACGGTGACAACAGTGACCTCCGGTCGTCCTCACTGCTACACTCCCACCAGCGCCGTGACAGTTTATAGACGCCATTGCAAGGTCAGAAAGTTACCCTATATGGTCTAAAAGGGGAGGCATGAATCATCCACTCCTTATTTAGCATACCATCAAGAAATAACCATAAAAATGGGCAACCAGCAGCCCTCAGGGGCTGCTCTGTCTATGGAGTAGTCATTCTTTTCTTCCTTTACTTTCTCAATAAACTTACTTTCCCTTTGCACTGTGGACTGGCCCTGAATTCTTTCTTGCTTGAGATCCAAGAAACCTCTCTTGGGGTCTGGATCAGGACCCCCTTCCTGTAATGATAAGTGGTATCTAAAGACGTCGAACCCAACCAAACAGTAGAAAGGTGGTTACCAGAGTCAGGGCGTGGGTGCAGTGAGGTGACAGGTGTTGGTACAAACTTTCCATGGTAAGCATTGAGGCAGGAGAACAGGGTCTGGAGAACAGGGTCTGGAGACAGGGACAACAGCAAGGTCTGAGAAAACAGCAAGGTCTGGGCACAGGAAACCCAAGGCCAATTGGAGCTGCCTCCCCAAAGCTGGATCAAAAGGAAAACACCTGGGTCTGGGGGCAGGGAACCTGAGGCCAATTAACACACACTTCTGAAAGCAGAACCAAAAGGAAAACCCCCTGTCCCCAAGCCGAGCAGCAAAGGATCAAAGCCTACTCTCCCTACAACATCTCAGATGGAAAGGGAGAGTGCCCTGGATTAGCTGTAGGCAATGCAGGGACCACCCCTTCATCTGCATAGGGTGCCAATTCACCTCAGCCTTTAATTAGCCAGGGACCAAATCCTTCATCCAGATAAGGAGTAGCAGATAAGAACCTCAAACAGGGAACTTAACACCCTTGAGCCCTTGCTGGGCCCACTCCCACCCTGCAGAGCGCTTTCTCTCTTGAATCAATCCCTGCTTTCGCTGCTTCGCTCCCCGCGTTTCATTCCTCTGCTACTCTGTGTTTTGGTCAATTCTTTGTTCAAAATGCCAAGGACCTGGACAACTCATAGTAAAGACCCTCCACAAGTAACAGTAGGTTCTAGAGGCCTAATGGACAACACGGACACTACAGTTACTAATAACATATACTTGCAATTGGCTCAGAGAGGAGATCGTGAGTATTCTCACCACACACACATGAAAAGTCAATGTAGGCTGGTGGGTATGTCAACAAGCTTGACTGTGGCGAACATTTCACAATGAATACTTATAGCAAATCATCACGTTGTACATCTTGAACATTTGAAAAATATATGGAATGAGGAGCCCCCTGTGCTCTCAGATATAATTATGCTCAGAGGAAACTGCTGAAGAGTCACAGGTAACTTACCACAGATGGAGAATCCCTTACTCCCTGGAGAGACCGGGGACAGCAATGAGACTGAGCAGGAGCTGGGTCACAAAATAGCTATCCAGGCTCACAGGCTGGAGAGCAGCAGCAGTCCCCCATCCCGTGTGTGTGGTGGTGAGGGGTGGGAGTGATGCTGTCAGGTCCTGAGCTGAGGCCCCTAGGCCTTCCCTGGGGGGGGTCCTGCGCCTCAGGCCTCAGGGTACGGGGCGCGGCAGAGAGACTGGAAGGGGAAATAGACCAGGAGCTGAAAACCGTGTCAAATGAACCATGAGCTCCAGATAAGAAATCTGTACTCAAAAAATTCTTACATATAAAAATACCTTTTAAATATTAAAAATCTCATCTTGCCCTAATTTGTTGGTATAAATTTCATTTCAAAAACTTCCCACCTGTTGTGTGTGGACTAAGAAGAACACGATTTTTGGTGCAGTTTGGATGGAGTAAGTGGAAAATGGCGGGAAAGTGGCAGAAAGGCAAAGGCGCTGAAGAAATCTCAGGGGGAAAAGCCCCTGTGGCCAGGTTGGCCCTCACCTTGGAAGGACAGGATCTGCCTCCAGGAAGTGGGGTCCAGGTCCCACATTTACCACCTGTCTGACTTTCTTCATACAAGGCTTCCCCGCCTGAGGGGCCCAGTCAGAGCTGCAGTGCTGAGCCTGAGGCCACCTGCCATTTCTCCCTCCTCCTCTACACGCCCTTCTTCTTGGGCCATGCCTCCTCCGCCCTTGAGTGCTTGTCTGACAGGGAGGGCTGTGGCGGTGGCTCATCCTGGAACCAGTATGTGCTGCTTGTGGGGGCTGCAAAGCCCTGCATGCCAGCCCCGCCCCAGGTCTCTGCTTACCAGATCCTTCCTTTCACCCACTTTGTTCTTCTGGCTGAGTTTTGAGGAAAGGAATTGCCTTTCAAACGCAGCCTGACTTAGGTCAGTGGTGTTTTTCTCTTTTCTTTTCTGTTTCTTGTCTGCACCGATGAGCTTTTCAGGACTGTGAAGAAAAGCAGAAAAAAATTGTCTCGATTCAGCACAGATGGAATTGTACCATCAAATAGTTTCTGAAGATTAATGTATTGAACTCAATCGTCACTTCTGAGAAGGAACAACTGACCAGCCATCACTGGTGACTATGCCTCAATTTGCCTGCCCGGTCCGTACCTCTGCTGGCCCAATTCCTAGGGAGGTGGTGACTCGGGAACCCTTTCCCAGCCATGGCTGAGGCACCAGGTCCAGAGCCTCAATCATTGCTGTAGTTGGGACAAAGGGGCTTCCAGGCAGCCTCCGAGTACTTAAACCAGAAAGTCAGGCAGGACGGCGCCTCCACTTGCCAGCACCCACAGGAAAGCACAGAAAGCCCGTGTGCAAAGAAAGAGAAATGGAGCCGGTTCACAAAGAGAAGTGATGGTGAGTGCCACATAGCCCCAAAGAGGCAGCCTGGCTCCAGCCTCCCAGTTGGTCCCCCGAGCAGCCTGGCTCCCTTCCTGGCTTGGCTTCCATGACATACCCGTGCTCTCTAACACATGGAGCCCCTCTCCCACCTTTCCTTTGAGAAAGACTCTGGCTTTTGTAATCAAACTGTCTCTGCCTCACCTCACCACATACTCTCAAGTCCTTTTCTTACTTCATCAAATAGCCACGCGAGGCATCCTCTGAGTGTATCCTCCCGGAGGAATTTCACCAGGGCTGCCACCATTTCTGCCCCAGGAAGCCTAGCCCTATCGAGGGAAATAAGCCTTCTCTTTTCTTCCTCCATTCATTCATTCAACAACCACTTATTCATGATCTACTATGCTCCAGCTAAGTGCTGGGAACACCAAGATTAGTAAGACACAGTCCCTGCCCTCAAGGGGCTTGCTGATGGAGGAAAGGGCCAGTAGGGGGCTGGAGAGTTCTGTGTCCCTGTGATAACCTGCCCTCTTGCCTGCACTGGAATGGCCAGGGACAGACAGAGGGAGCAAAGGCAGGCAACAGCCTGGCAGGTCAGGGAGTTACGAATGTGCTGACTTGAGCCAGAGGTTTTTGTGGTTAATCAATCTTTCTTTTCTTTAGGTCGATGGGACTTCTGGGCTGAGACCGGAAAGGGTGGTAGGGCCCAGATGGTGCCTCATGTGCCATGTTGAGGGCCTGGGCTTTGTCGTAAGGGGAATGGCACTGAGGGGTTCCAGTGGAGGAGTGCTGATCACTTTTAAAAAACCACTCTGGCTGCTGGGCGGAAAATGGATTGGAGGAGACCAGCCTGAAGGAATACCAGCGGAGGAGCCAGAGGGGAGATGACGCCAACAAAGCAAGATGAAGCCTTTGTCTTGTTGCAGGGGTGGGGGGTTGTGTAATTACTGTTGTTTAAATAAAAATGTTTGTTAAAATGATAAAGGAACCATAAAACCAGAAATAATACATAAAACTTCAAAATCACTAGGGGAAGCAGAAACAAAGTAGCACTGTTTATTCCAACAAAACTCAGGATGGGGAATGAAAACAAAATGTTGAGAGAGTATAACAGACTTCCATGTTTGTGTAGAATATAGAAGTCGGCACAGGCTAAAAATCCTGCTGAAATAAATAGAGAAGAAAAAACAGAAAATTTACCATCAAAAATAAGAATTTTAAAATCACTAAACAGCTTTAAAAACAATTCCAGAGATGGGAGAGCCTTCAGGAATTAGCTGACAATCTCCAACTCTTGCCTTCCTCTGTGGGAGCATTTTAAATACCAGGTCACCAATATTAAGTACCAGAGTAGAGACTGATTCCTCTGTGCTTCTAACATCTTTGGTGGATTTTTTCTCCTCGGGTCTGGTTGATGTCCTGGCAGGTGGGTATTTAACCTTGTTCTCAACATCACCCTCCCCCTAATAGGCAAGTCAAGCAATGCACTTGGTTTCTCAATGGAGGACAGAACTCTCCAGGCCCCAAGTACAGACAGCATTCCCCAAAACCTATTTGAAAAAGAATCAAGGAGGAGTGGGGAGGGGGAAGGGAGAGCATTATGAAAAATAGCTAATGCACGCTGGGTTTAATACTTAGGTGATGGGTTGATCACCTAGGCACACATTTACCTGTGTAACAAACTTGCACAACCTGCATGTGTATGCTAGCACTAAAAATAACAAATTTAAAAATCAAATAGAAATTCTAGATCTATAAAATAACTGAAAATAATAATTCAATGGATGGCTTTAACAACAAACAGACACAACAAAAGAGATAATAAAATATCTGAAACCACACATGGAAACACAAAAAGGATAGAAAATATACAAAAATGATAAGAGACAGAGAGGGAATCAGTGAGAAAATCTAAAATATGTTTAACTAGAGTACCCAAAAGAGAGGAGAGGAGAATATGGCAGAGGTAACAAGGAAAAAATAACTGAAAACTTTCTAGAACTAACTACAGACATTAACCTACAGATTCAAGAAGACCCATGAATTCTAAGTAGGAGAAATAAAAAGAAATCCACATCTAGAAACATCATGTAAAACGATAAAAAATCAAAGACAATGAGAAAATCATAAAAGCATCCAGGGGAAAGGACAGATTACCTTCAAAGGAACAACAGTAAGACCAGCAAGTGACTTCTCAATTGAAAGAGTAAAAGACAACAAGATATATGCTGAAAGAAAATAACTGCCAACCTAACATTCTTAATCCTGAAAACACCCTTTAAGAATGAAGGTGAAGTCTGAAAAGGCTAAATGTTGTATGATTCCAACCACATGACATTGTGTAAAAGGCAAAACAATGGATAGAGTAAAAAATAAAGAAATAAAAATTAAAAGTAAAAGTAAAAAAATTAAAAAATTAAAAAATCACTGGTTGCTAGGGGTTAGTGGGGAGGAGAGATGAATGGGCAGAGATGATTTCTAGGACAATGAAACTATTCTGTGTGACACTGGAACAGAATGATGGATTCATGTCATTGTACATTTGTCAAAAGGCATAGAATGTACAACGCCAAGAGTGAACCCTTATGTAAACTATCAACTTTGAGTGATAATGTAGTTTGTGCCACTGTGGTGCAGGATGTCAACAGTCGGGGAGGCTGTGTTTGTTGGGGGACAGGAGGTATATGAGAACTCTCTAGGTACTTTCCACTCAAGTCTGCTGTGAACATAAAATTTGTTATGAAAAATAAAGTTAAGTTGAAAAAAGAAGGGAAATAAAGATGTCTTAAAGCAAACAGAGATTTTTCATGAGCAAATGCACATTTATGAAAACTGGGAAACAATATTTCTGTGTTATTTGTCATGAGGTATATAGTAGAGTATAAATGACATGACCTGAGACCTAGAATTTTCCCACAAAAGGGTGAGCACAAAAGGGGAAGTGGGGTAAAGTGAGAGAGAGAGAACGGCAAAACGTTGATGGCTGCTGAACCTGGGTGATAGGTACACAGGAATGTGTTGCATTCTCCACATTCAGAGCATTTGAAAATGTTTGTAATAAAATATTTTTAAAATGAGTCAGTGTAATTTTCCACAAGAGGGGCGCAGAGGCTCACGTCTATAAATCCCCCAGCACTCTGGTAAGCCAAGGTGAGTGGATTACTTAAGGTCAGGAGTTTGAGACCAGCCTGACCAACGTGAAACCCCTTCTCTACTAAAAATATAAAAATTAGCCAGGCATGGTGGTGGGCGCCTATAATCCCAGCTACTCAGGAGGCTGAGGCAGGAGAATCACTTGAACCTGAGAGGCAGAGGGTGCAGTGAGCCGAGATCGTGCCATTGTACTCCAGCCTGGGTAACAGAGCAAGACTACATCTCAAAAAATAAAATTAAAATGTCCACATTAACAGAACAAAGAAGAAAAAAATTGTAATATCAATAAATGCATAAAAATTAATATATGTCAAAATCTATTCATGATCTAAAAAAAAAAACTCATAGCAAACTAAGAAAATGAACTTCCTTAATTTACTAAAGGAAATCTAAAAATAATGTCAAACACAAAAAACACCAAAAGCTTTCCCTTTAAGAATAGCACAAGGAAGTCAATTTTCACCACTTCAACTTTGTGCCAGAGATCTTAACTGGTACTGTAAGGTAAGGAAAAGAAATAAAAGGTATAAAGAATGGAAAACAAGACATAAAATTCTCTTTATTAGAAGATAATATTGTGGGCTGGGCGCAGTGGCTCACACCTGTCATCCCAGTACTTTGGGAGGCCAAGGCAGGTGGATCACCTGAGGTCAGGAGTTCGAGACCAACCTGGCCAACATGGTGAAACCTCATCTCTACTAAAAATACAAAAATTAGCCGGGTGTGGTGGTGCACACCTGTAATCCCAGCTACTCAGGAGGTTGAGGCGGAGGTTGCAAGGAGCCAAGATTATGCCACTGCACTCCAGCCTGGGTGACAGAGCGAGACTCAATCTCAAAAAAATAAAAAGAATATTGTGTACATAGAAAATCCAAAAGACTCTATAGATAAAATGTCAGAACTCATAATAAAGTTTAGCAAGGTTGCCAAATACAAATTCAATATATGAAATCATTTTTATTTCTATACATTACAATTACCTAGAAAATGAAATTACATATAATAATAAAATAGGAATAAGTAGGAATAAATCTAAACAAAGATCTACAAGACCTTCAGACATGGTTTCTTATCCATAGTACTTACTGACATTTGGGGCTGAGTCATTCTTTGTTGTAGGATATTTGGCCACACCCCTGCCCTAAGTCCAGTACATGCCTGTAGAACCTCACGCCCCTGACAACCAAAAATGTCTCCAAACATTGCCAGCTTCTTAACCAATTTGATTATGAACCACTCCCTTACGTAAAATAAGACCCATATTAATGGAGAGATAGATACCATGTTCATGGATTACAGGGCTCAAAATTGTAAAGATGTCAATTCTCCCTAAATTGATCTATAGATACAATACAATCCCAATCAAAATCCCAAGCATTAGGTTGGTGCAAAAGTAATTGTGGTTTCTGCCATTACTTTTTTGTTTGTTTGGGAATTTGTTTGTATGTGTGTGAATGAAACTACATGAAACTTGAGCTAATTATAAAATATATATTGGTGTATTTGTTCTATCAGGTATCAAAACTCATTAAAAAGCTATAGGAAACAAATAGGCAACGATGGAGAACCTGGAAATTAAGTATACATAACATGTTGCACTGAATTTGTATAAAAGTCTATGCTGCAGAACAGCAGGGAAATTATATTTTCAATAAATGATACTGAGGAAAATGGGTATCATTAAAGGGAAAAAATTCAACTGGGTCCCACATAAAATATATACAAAAAGCAATTCTAACTGGATTATAAGCCTAAATTTGAAAAGCAAAACTATAAAAGCAGGCCAGGAACGGTGGCTCATGCCTGTAATCCCAGCACTTTGGGAGGCCAAGGTGGGCAGATCATGAGGTCAAGAGATAGAGACCATCCTGGCCAACATGGTAAAATCCCATCTCTACTAAAGATATAAAAATCAGCTGGGTGTGGTGGCGCACGCCTGTAGTCCCAGCTACTCAGGAGGCTGAGGCAGGAGAATCACTTGAACCCGGGAGGCGGAGGTTGCAGTGAGCCGAGATCGTGCCACTGTACTCCAGCCTGGCAATAGAGCAACACTCCGTCTCAAAAAAACAAACAAACAAACAAAAAAAGCTATACAGCTTTTGGAACAGACATTTTAAAATAATGTATAAAACGCACTAGTTATAAAGGAAAAGAAAAATAGGTTTGACTATATCAACATTAAGAATATCTATTCATTAAAAAATACCATTAGGAAGAGTAAAAATGCAACCCACAAAATAGGAAAAGATACTTATAACACAAATAACTGAAAAAGGGTTTATAGCCAGAATATGTAAGGAAAATCAGTAAGAAAGACCAAACATCCCAACAGAAAAAAAATGGCAAAAGTCTCGAACAGATGCTTCTCAAATGAAGAAACCCAACAGCCAATAAAGACATGAAAAGTACTCAGTTTCACTGATAATGTGGAAAATGCTGTTATATAGCTGCCAGCTTTACTCAGATGATAATATTATACACCAAGGGTAAAGGAGAATGAGAAGCAACAGTATTTCTCCCCCATGCTGATGGGGGTGTAAACTGAAACAGTCTCTTTGCAAAACAGTTTAATATTATCCCACAACTCAACAAACTCCACTTTGGGGTATATATCCTAAGAAATGTGGATTGTGGGCCAGGCACAGTGACTCACGCCTGTAATCCCAGCATTTTGGGAGGCCAAGGCAGGAGGATCACAAGATCAGGAGTTCAAGACCAGCTTGGCCAAGATGGTGAAACCCTGTCTCTATTAAAAATACAAAAATTAGCTGGGCATGGTGGCGGCCACCTGTAATCCCAGCTACTTGGGAGGCTGAGGCAGAGAATTGCTTGAACCCAGGAGGGGGGGGTTGCAGGGAGCCGAGATCGCATCACTGCACTCCAGCCTGGACAACAGAGTGAGACTCCTACTCAAAACTAACTAACTAAATAAATAATAAATGTGGATTGTGGGAACCAAAATACCAAACTGGATCGTTCATAATAGCCAAAATGTGGAAACAACCCAAATGTCCACAACAGTGCATTGCTTAAATGATGGCATAGTCAAATACAATGGAATACACTCCGGAAATAGAAGTTAACACACTGGAATACACTCCGAAAATAGAAGTTAACACACTATATGAACAACAGAAAGGAATCTGAAAAACTTAATGGTGAGCAAAAGCAGTCACACAATGAACTGGACATGTACAAACCCCAACAGATGAATTTTATGGTATGTAAGTTGCATCTTTTTTTTTTTTTTTTTTTTTTTGATGGAGTCTCACTCTGTTGCCCAGGCTGGAGTGCAGTGGCGTGATCTCGACTCATGGCAACTTCTGCCTCCTGAGTTCAAGTGATTCTCCTGCCTCAGTCTCCCGAGTAGCTGGGATTACAGGCATCTGCCACGATGCCCAACTAATTTTTGTATTTTTAGTAGAGATGGGGTTTCACCATGTTGGCCAGGCTAGTCTCAAACTCCTGACCTCAGGTGATCCACCTGCCTTGGCCTCCCAAAGTGCTGGGATTACAGGCGTGAGCCACCGTGCCCAGCCTGTAAATTATATCTTAATAGAGATGTTTTTTAAAGAGTCAGTCATAAAAGAATAAATGCTTTCAGGTTCTGTTTATATGAAATTCAAAAATATGCAAGATAAACTATATTGTTTAAGGACACAAAGTTAGTTGATAACACCACAGGGAGAGCAAGGAAGTGAACACTTATAAAGTGAAGAGAGCTCTGGGGCAGGGAGGAGACTGTCTTGGGAGGGGGCAGGATCCCTTTCTTGAAATGGCTAGTGATTCCACAGGACTGACTCAGGGACTTGTTAAACTGTTTATGTTTTATTCTGTCCTCTACATATATTTCATAATACAAATGTGATAGTAACAATAAAACTATAAACTACTAAAAGACAAAAGTGTGACTAGTTACGAGAGCTTCAGTAGGAAATAAAGGAAGTTGCAAGTTAAACAAATATTTGTTCTGCTCATCTGTACCTGTATTTGTAAGTTTTACTCCTGGCTCTTGCGGAGGCTTTATGCCACTCTTTTGGAATCACACGATGTGAAGTGAAAGTGAAGTAGGGCGAGCTGGCATGCAGCCTGGCCTTCTCTATTTCTTTAAATTCTTTGATGGAATGTCGTTTTCCTATAGGAAGATAAAAAATCAAAATCAACACTCTTCAAGAACTCCAATTGCTCTTGGAGTGAGAAGTCACTCGACAATTAGCAGTCTCAAAAAAATGAGGCCCAGTGATCACAAAGCACCTGTCTCACATTGAAGACCAGTTCTCTTCTCTTCATCCACCTCTTGCTGTCTTTGAAGCAGAGGATCAACAAATGATGGGACTGTAACCTACAAGAAAAATGAGACTCTTTCAGGACCAGAGTGCAGCCTGTATTAAGCTTTTAAAATGTGTTCCACATAAAGATGGGAACAATAGACCCTGAGGACTACAAGAGTGGGAAGGGCAGGAGGGGGCGAGGGTTGAAAAACGACCTATTCGGGACTCTGCTTACTACCAGGGTGACAGATTCAATCGCACCCCAACCTCAGCAGCATGCAATATACCCATGTAACAAACCTATATGTATACCCCCGAATCCAAACGTTGAAATTTAAATAAATAAAGTCTGACCTAAGCATGCAAGTATGCCCTTACTGTACACCAAAGCAGCTGAGAAGAAAGGCCCAGGAATGTGCCAATCTACACAGCAGTGGAAGGGCATCACCTCAGATGAGGATGTCGCACAGAGCCTTAAATGGCTGAACTGAGGGAGGGAGAGAGGGAGGGCCGCCCAGAGAGAAGAGACGCACTTCTGTTAAGTGCTCTACTGTGTCATTGCATCAGCCAGTAAATATTTGTGTTGCCATTGTGTGCCACATCCAGGCTAGATCCTGTCTTCAAGGATCTCCTAGTCTAGAACAGCCTAGTCATCTACAGTGACAATCTAGTCCTGAGAGGGGCCAGCTCAGGATCCTGTAGGAGCAGGGGCAGTGCTCCTAACCCAGACTGGGAGGACGCATGTCTCCTGGGGAAGCTGACGACTGGTCTGTAAAGGCCTGTGAGAACAGAGGGTCAGGTGACCAGAGCTATGAGTTTATGTCAAAGGGTAGGGACATACAGAAGTATTTTTTCTCCCCGCTCCTGATAAGCCTTAGACAGAGGGACTATTTTTCCCCTCCATTTCCCCCACAGCACTCATCGCAGTGCTGGACTGAAGTGCTAGGTAAACAATTACTGAATAAACCAGGCAGCATAACATGTACTGCCTCCAGCACCCCAGATGATGACATTCTACCCAGAACCAAAAGAATCTGTTCATCTTCATATGACCAACCTGGCTTGGTTCTCTGGGAGAAGCAAAAGAAACCGCTTCCACCTTCAGAGCCATACATATCTTTTAAAAAAGTAATAGTCACATCAGGTAGCTACTTCTGCTGCATGGGAGCGAAAAACTGAAACCTACATTTCTCAATTTTAACCCTGTATTGGCGGTTTAAAAATCTGAAGACTCATTACAACCTCAAGTATGAGCTCTCACGGGCAGCCTGTGCTGAAATTCCTCCTGTATCTCCGCTGGAAAGGAGTATTCCCTCCCAAGTCCCACAGTCCCTGTGCTGACTTCTGTGACACTCGCCGCACTCCACTGCACAAGCTGCCACACCTCTCTCTCTCCTTGTGCTTCAAGTTTGCTGAATGTGAGTAAATGAATGAACAAGTGATCACACGTATCCGTGCCTTGTGCACAGTGTAAATTCCACGGGAGTCTAAATTACTTTGAGTTCCTACTCTAAAACTCAAAGGAAATGCTTTTATAGACTTTTTTTTAATAGAGAATAACTACAAGACTTCTAAAACGACTAGGTTTTCCCCAACTCCAGAGCTCCTAAGAATAAAAAACCAAAGAAACCTGCTCTACCCTTTTATAATTTGGTTTTTCTTCATATAAAAGGATCGTAGGCCGGGCACAGGGGCTCACACCTATGATCCCAGCACTTTGGGAAGCCAAGGCAGGTGGATCACTTGAGGTCAGGCGCTCAAGACCAGCCTGACCAACATGACGAAACCCCTTCTCTACTAAAAATACAAACAATTAGCCAGGCGTGATGGCACATGCCTGTAATCCCAGCTACTTGGCAGGCTAAGGCAGGAGAACTGCCTGAACCCCGGAGGCGGAAGTTGCAGTGAGCCAAGATTGCACCATTGTACTCCAGCCTGGGCAACAAGAGCGAAACTCCGTCTCAAAGAAAAATTTAAAAAATTTAAAAAGGGATTGTATACTTCAGGATTATAACGGTCTTCACATATAATTTCCTTCAGATACAAAATATACTTAAGGGAAAAATCACTAGATACAAACTGTTTTGCAAGATTCATATTATAAAAGTCAAATACTGTATTTCATTTTTATATAAAAGCATAGCTTCAAAGGGTTGGAAGAAACTGCTGAAGTAATTTAGACTGCAATGAGACTCCACCACCTTCTGGGAGAAGTAATCATCTAGCTTTGGTCTGAAGTCATTCATGGCCCTTTGAGAACTTTCTGCTCTATGGGGCAGGTACTTTTTTTGGTAATTTTAACCTCAAGAAAGTCTGCCCGTAGGTTGAGTTTAAATCTGCCTTGTAACTTGCAAGTTCAGACACTAGTTCTATACATCTAATTCATCGGCTAATGTCTGCCTTTAAAATACTTAAAAGGTTCATTCCCCCTCGTGTCGTCTTTTCCTTGGGCCAAATACCCCACCTCTTTCCAGTTTTCTTCCTATAAAGTGGTGTCAAGACTCAACTCTTTTCTAAAGGTTTTGCAACTGATGAGTGTCCCTTCAACAGTGCGACATCAGGAATGACAGGATGAGGACAGGATGGACCAAGACTCTGATGCTTCCCACTCTAAGCACAGCCTCTCTTGCCTGAGAGCTGTATGTTTTCTGGGAATCCAGCTCACATGGCTGATTCACAATGACTTCACTGACATTTAAAATCACCTGGACTTTGACACATGCCATTTCTAAGATCTTCCTCCCTATACCCATGAAATCACATTTCTGGACACAAATATAAGACTCTGCACTTTGGAGATCTGGATTCAATCTTGAGCTCTGCCCCTTAAGAGTGTGTAGGAAAAAGTATTTAAGGTAAATATTCAGAAACTGTGCTCAGTAAATATACTTAAATGCTCCAATATTTCAGCTAACCTACTCTAGGGTCTCACTCTGTCACCCAGGCTGGAGTGCAGTGCCACGATCATGGCTCACTGCAACCTCTGACTCCCAGGCTCAAGTGATCCTTCCACCTCAACCTCCCAAGTAGCTGGGACTACAAGTGCAAAGAACCACACCTGGCTTTTTTTTTTTTTTTTTTTTTTTTTTTTGTACAAACGGGTTTTTGCCATGTTGCCCAGGCTGGACTCAAACTCCTGGACTCAAGCAATCCATCCACCTCAGCCTCTCAAAGTGCTGGGATTACAGGGGTGACCCACTGCACCCAGCCACTACTCTAGATATCTACTAGATATGTGGAGGTAAGAAAAAAAGATCCAGTAGTGCACACCTGAAGTTAACAGATTTGCATTTGGTACTGCAAATAGATAGACCTAAATTCTGAGAGTCCTGACCTCAAAATCAAAAAAAATCTTCAAATTGAGAAACCAAATTTTGTTGTTTTGTAAAGCCAAACTGTAGAACAGAGTATAGAAACTGTTAGTCCTAACAGCTACTGGTTGGCTAACTCAGCCATGCAATAGCATTCTCTTTTGCCCACTTCCTACTAGAGAGATGAGAAAGCCGCAGTGGCTTTCCAGGCCCTGCTTATGGCTAGGACTTGCCTCATGACCCAGTCCTGGCCAAAGAGACCTAAGGGAAAGCTGACTAGGGGCCTCTGGGGACTCTTTTTGCTTCCTGCAAAGGAGTAGTGTAAGAGAAGAGGCCCCTGGCACCATTCCTTACCCCTTCTTCTTCCTGCCCTGAATGAAGACCTAATGTCTGGAGCTATAAGCAACCATCCGGCAAATGTGAGAATGATGGGGATAAACTGAAAATACTAAGGATAGCAGAATAGAATAGGAAAAAACCTGACATTGTTATGCTATCAGAACCCACCACGAGACCACCTACCTCTCAATTTCTTGTGAAGTAAATGATAAATGCCCTTATGATTTAAGCCACAGAAACTCCATTAACATCTACATAAAATCATTCCTGACAAATCTAGTTCCAAGTCAACACTCCTATCCCCTCCAACCTCAGGCTTAAGAATGCAGTACATGTATTACAATTCAATGAACTCATCTTAAATACAAAAATAAGCTGGAGGCTATTTGTATAACCAGTGAAATTGTTAGACTAACTCTTCAAATTATACTTTATTTGAAAAATAAAACATCAGTACCATTTTATGTCTGTGCTGTAAATAATATTCAACATTCTCTTGTTTCATTTTTTTAAGCCCTTTATATGAAATTACTTTTTCCATAATTCTCTGCTGAAGAGGCTCTGCAACGTTTTCAACCCATTTTCTATGTAACATCTCTTTTCTTCTTTCCTTAAAAGTATCCAGATGCTGAAAATACGTATCCAATCTCTAGTGAAGTGATACAAACAAGGAAAATAAATTATAAAGAAATGTTTCACTTATTGTCATTTGAGTAAGGGGGAAAAAAACATCTGTTCCCACTACTAAGTTCTCAGCCACATTTGGGTTGCAAAGTCCCAGTATAAGATAACTGAAGCACAGAATAAAGTACAGTAAGAGAAGCTGGGAACACAGAGCAGAAGAACTCATATAAACTTCTAAACCACAACTGTGCCTTCAGATTAAACCACATCTAACTCATGAATCAGATTAAGCTATTCCTAACATGTGAAACTCTTGTTTCTTTTTCAGGATTTCCAAGCATTCCCTGGTCACCCATCCTGTGTCTAGCCTTCACCATCAGGAAAGTCTGTGACAAAATTGGTAGAGTAGAAAGCACACCAGACTGTGACACCTCTCTCTGGCCTGTGAAAGAGAGGTAATCTCATCTATCTCTTCGGATGCTTAAATGGGAATTTATGTGCACTTTCTTTATAAATTGTAAATCGCAATTCAAATGTCAAAGCTTTATTCTTGTCTGTTTAAAAGACAAGGTCTCACTCTGTCGCCCAGGCTAGAGTATAGTGGCATGGTCACAGTTCACTACAGCCCCAACCTCCTGGGCTCAAGCGATCCTCCTGCCTCAGCCTCCTGAGTAGCTGGGACTACAGGTGCGTGCCACCATGCCTGGCTAATTTTTGAATTTTTTGTAGTGACGGGGCCTCACTATGTTGCCCAGGCTGGTCTCAAACTCTCAAACTCCTGGTTTCAAGCAATGTTCTTGCTTCAGCCTCCCAAAGTATTATAACTCCATCTCTCTCATTGAAATTAAATGTCCCTTAAGCTAATTTCGTAGTGACTATCAGTTACTGATTGGTCATAACCCTTAAAAGTTTATTTTGTTTCTAGTGATTTTCTATATCCCCACTGCAAGTGGGAACACATGAGAAAGAGGCAAGTGTGAATAGGAAAGAGTTTCTATTCAGTACCAGGACGAAGAGAAGGAGCAATTAGGACAATTTCTCAGATCCCTTCAGGACAGATCCAAGTGGGATTAGGGACCTCTTAGTGATCCTGCAAGAAGGGGGCATGACCTCAGATCCATGTAGTACAAACAAGTAAATTACAGGATCCTCACTCCCCCTGCAAAATGAGTCTCTTGGATCATGGTGACATGACTCTTGGCCATGTCGTTCTGCATACTCTTGCTCCCCTAGAACACACTTAGAATGTAGTGTGGAGCCAACTCTTACCTTCACAACAGAATTTTCTCTAAATAATATTGCACGTACTGCTTCATCAATGTCTTCTCTAGCTAATACCTAAAATTACAGAATTGGATATTAGGCTGTAAATCCTGAAGCAACAAACTACAATGACGAAACTCAGTGTACTTTACCCAATAGTTTCAGCGTAAATCTTGAGGCTTATTATGTAACATAAATATATGGAAAATTTCTAAACCCATTCTCCATGAACCCATCAACCAGGTTCAAGAGTGATTAATTCTGAGTCAATCTTATGTCATCTAATAAATCTCATTTTTCAGCACCCCCCCACCCAGACTATTTTAAAACAAATCCCTGATAGTATATTATTAAATTATGTTTTAAAGCACTAAAAAGCTTACTAAAGGAATCCTCTTTTCAGGCATTCAGTAGGTGTTTTTTGTTTGCTTTTTGAGACAAAGTCTGGCTCTGTCACCCAGGCTGGAGGGTAGTGGTATAATCTTGGCTCACTACAACTTCAGCCCTCCAGGTTCAAGTGATTCTCCTGCCTCAGCCTCCCAAGTAGCTGGGATTGCAGGCACATGACACCACACTTGGCTAATTTTTGTATTTTTTAGTAGAGACGGAGTTTCACCATGTTGGCCAGATTGCTCTCGAACTCCTGACCCCAAGTGATCCACCCACTTTGGCCTCCCAAAGTACTGAGATTATAGGTGTGAGCCACCCCATCCAGCCAGTAGGTGTGTTTTAAAGGGCCCTTGAAGTTTTCCGCCTTTTGCTAGATCTCTTCATAAGTCAAAAACCACAGAAAATTCCCTTTAGTTCAACTAGTCCAGAGTCTCAGAGCTAATTAGTGGAGCTCATGGCCTCCAACCAGTATCATCCACATCTAAGGACTTGCTGTTTCCATTATGAGTTTAGGTAAAGCCGATGCATTTTAATCCCGACTTTTTCAGTTGGATCACTATGAACTAATCTCTAGCTTTTATTCTTATAGGACTAAGTGTGAACAAATGAAAAGGCAATAAAAATCCAGTATCTGGAAGAGATAAACTATTACATTAAAAATTATTGATGAAAAATGATAAAGGTTCTTAGAACTGTTATTCAATTTGATTCTTCTTTCTGTTCTGCCACACTGCATCACAACAAACCAAACCCCAAACTCAAACACCAAATCTGTGAATAAGAGAAATCTCAAAAAGGAAAGTTGTTTTTACCCATATATTTAATAGCTTCACATGAGATCTAAAATGACATTCAAACAGCTACCCAGGTCTTCTCTAAAATAAAGCTCTTTGTAATATGAAGAGGATCTTGCTTTAAAGCCTTCTCAGACTTATTTTAAGATGACAGGCCAGACAGGGTGGCTCACGTCTGTAATCCTAGTGCTTCGAAGGCCCAGGCAGGAGGATTACTTGAGTCCAGAAGTTTGAGGTTACAGTGAGCTATGATTGGGCCACTGCACCCCAGCCTGGGCTACAGAGCAAGAACCTGTCTCTAAAATATTTTTTTAATTAAAAAGAAGATGGTAACTGAAAAAGTATGTAAAACAATTAAACATGTATCCTGACACTACAATATAAATTTAGAATCAATCTATTTATTTATTTGGAGAAGCAGAAACACGTTGACAAGCATCTTGGGAAGTCACCTTCTTAAAGAACATCCTAGTAAGACTGTTAGCAAATGTTATGTACACTCTTGAGTCAGATTGTCAAATAATCTTTTTCTGTTTAAAGAAATTAAAGTTTGTCTTTGATGGCTCTTCTTTGTGATTTTGTCAGGAAATATAAGGAAAAGGTCATGATTTGCAGCAGCACTTCTGAAATCCACGGCTTTCTGTGCGCACACACACAGAAAAATAAGCGTCTCACTACTCCGACTGCCACCAGGGCAAAAGGGGAAATTTCCAAGAGTTTTTCACGGCGAGGCAAATCATAGAATGATACAAAACAATGAAACTTTATGAGAAAATCATTACCAGATCCTAAAGCAGAACTGACTGGCAAGCCCAGACCTGGCTTCTCCTGCCGGGGAGCTGGGGTTGCTGCCTTCACCCACCGGCCTGCCCTCGTCGGTGCACCAGTCCCCAGGCTGGCGACTGGGAACACTCTTGGCCACACTCTCGGCCAAATCTGAGCCCGGAACACTCCCCTTCAACGCCTGCTTTAAACCAGGCACTGTCCCAGTCCTGAGAACAGAAGCGAGATTAAGATAAACAGTTCCCAGACTCGAGGGGACCCACCGCCAAAATGACGTCTCAAAACGCCACGTTCTCTCACCTCCATTAAAGAAACGGACTCGGGCTCCGGCCATTCTCTTAACTTTTCTGGCCTGAAATGTTCATCGTAAATCCAAGTTTTGGTGGCAGCCATGGACAGAATCCCTGAGGGAAGAAAAGGTAAACTGAGGCTGAGGACAACGGTTACCGTTGAGAGCTGGGCCTGTGGGCTGAGGGAGTGTTCGAATCCCGCTTGGCCCCTTTCTAGCTGGGCCCAGTCACCCAACAAACCGGGATCCTCGGCGCCCTGGGCGCTTCAACAGTTCCCGGCTACCCGCTCCCGTGTAGTCCTTGGGCCGAAGCGGGCCCTTCCGCCGGGTCGCGCCGCCCTAGCCCTGCCACCGCCCTCCCTGGGCTCTGAGACACCCAGGCCCGCAGGCCTCCCCGGGCCCCACCTCAGGCCAGCCCCGGGGGTGGTCGCAGGCCCCACGGCTCCGTGCCAGTGGGGCTCCCCCGCGGCCGCTTCCTGGAACGGCAACGGAGAAAGGAGCCCGCGAGCCCGCGCGTCGGGGCGCATGCGCCACGCCAGCCCCTAGTGCTGCCCCGACGCCAGCTGGAAGGGGACGCCGACGTCCCGGGAAAGGGCAGGGCGCCATTTGATTTCACAGCAAACGGAAACGCAGTGATGCAGCCCAGCGCCTGGCTCTCGCCCTCCCTCCTCGGGGGCGCCCTTCCCTCGCGGCCCCGGCGGGCACGCGGGCCTTCGACCGCCGAGGCCCCCGCCGCCCTTCTGGACTTTCATCGAGGCCTGTACATTAATACGAAAGAGAATTTGCCATTTACCTGTAAGATTGAGGGCGACAGCGTAAGAGGAATGGCTTTAAGTGACGCGTCCGGCTTCTCACTCCCACTGAAGGGTGAAGGTGCCACAGGTGGGCCTGGTTTGGATTCTGATGTGAAGAAACCGACTTCAAAACACTTGGGCCAATCAGGAAAATACCAAAACTCTGACTACATATTTAATGATATCTAGGAATTATTGTTAATAGTTTAAGGTATGGTACATTATCACAACCAAGATTTGACATAGCTACATCAAGATACAGGATATTAACAAGGATTACTGTTTTCAGCCAATGTTTCTTCAAGTATTTTTTTTAGTCCTGCCTGTGTCTCTCGTCCTGGGATTCTGATGATATGAATATTATTATAGCCCCCACAGCCCTTAAGCCTCTGTTCTTTCCTCCACCCCAGTCTATTTTCTCATTTTTTCAGATTTGGTAATTTTTATTGTTCTATCTTCCAGCTCACTGATTCTTTCCTCCATCTTCTCCATTCTACTGTTGAGCTTACCTGCTGAGCTTTTTATTTTGGCTATTGTAATTTTCAGGTCTACAATTTTCATTTGGTTCTTTATATCTCCTGTTTGCTCAGGATTTTTATTTTTTCATTTGCTTCAAGTGTATTCATATTTGCTCATTGAAGCATTTTTCTCATAGCAACTTTAAAAGTCTTTTTGGGCTTATTCTAACATCTTTGTCATCTCATTGTTGGTCTCTATTGTCTTTTCCATTCAACTAAAGATCTTCCTGGTTCTTGGTATGATTATTTTTTATTGAAGTCTGAACATTTTCAGTTTATATTATGAGACTCTGGATTTTAAACTTTGTTTTAGCTGGCTTTCTCCAACACCAATCGAATAGGGTTAATGAGGTTACCTCACTACTGCCAGGTGGAGATAGGAATCCAGGTGCCCCAGCTAGCATTCATTGATACTTGAGGGGCCAAAGTTCCTCGTTTACTGCTGTGTAGACCATGATTTAGAGATTCTAGTCAGGCTAACTGAGGGACCATTCAGCAAATTAGTTCCTTATATGGTATAATCTTGTCGAGAAAAGGAGCTGAATCTATCTCATCTTTACATCTTTCTCATAACATGGGACCATCTATGACTGACCCAAATAGCAGGCAAACAGAAAATTCCTGTTGAGTAGACATACGCAGAAAAGTATAATACACTGATGGCTTAAACTACATTAAGTATAAGCAAAAGGTGATTCAAAATAGGATTTTTAATTTCTACCTAGCTTCTTCCTTACTTCATTTGAAAATAAAAGTTTCCCTGATTTACTGAATCAAATTATTTCAATCTCATATGATTTAAAAGCTTACCTGAGCATTTGTCTCTTTACTTGATGTTCCCTGGTAATGTCACCTTTTTTACATGGTGGAAATAACTGTTAAGGATTTGAAAGATTCTCCTTTCAATAGGTAGTGCTTCAATGAGTCTTCACCTAGGCTCTTGCTGCAGGCTCTGAGTCTCTTTCTACATATCACAACTAAGTTAGTTAATCTCATAGTATTAAAATCTTTTGTCACTGTTTCTCCTACTAACTTTAAGACAGAGGGCCTATGTTGGCTCATCCTTATATCCCCAGAACCGGGCAGGGCACCTGGGAAAAACAGGCACTTAGATACTTACTAAGTGAATGATGAATAAATGAATGAATGAAACATAACCCCGACATCTACACAAAATGAAATTTCAATGTCAACATATTAAAAAAACATTTAAGAGACTGAAGACTTGTCTACCAGGAGAGCATCAAACCTTTTGAAGCTTTGCAGTTGGCCTCTGGTTGCCATTTTGGCATGGCTAGTGTTTTTAGTCATTTATAACTGTAACAGAGAAAAGCATTTCTATCCAAAGAGTCTCTTTAAATCAAAAAGTCTAGGCCAATCATGGTGGCTCATGCATGTAATCCCAGCCCTTTGGGAGGCCAAGGCAGGAGGATTGCTTGAGACCAGGTGTTCAAGACCAGCCTGGGCAACACAATGGGACCTTGTCTCTACAGAATGTTTAAAAATTAGTTGGGCATGGTGGTGGGCACCTGTAGTGCCAGCTACTCAGAAAGCTGAGGAGGGAGGATTGTTTGAGTCTGGGTTGAGGCTGAGGTGAGCCGTGCTTGTATTACTCCACTCCAGCTGGGAGACAGAACAAGACCTTGTCTCAGAAAACAAAACAAAAGTCCCAATGTTTGTGAGGTGTACATGTTAATCTTAACCATAAGAACAAACTTGCACCTAGATTTTTATTTTAAAAGTGTGAAATAGATTTAGGCTGCCTTTTATAAAGAAAACTTAAGAGAATTTCTAAACTTACTCACTTGAACAGAGGAATGGCTATGGAGAAGGCATTAATGACTGATTCATGGAACAGAATTGATTTACTGAAACTTTTCTCCTTCTATATAAAGTCAAGGTGAAGTAACAATATCCCTTTAATGCTGGTGTGATTTCTAGAAGTCTGTTTTGACTGATGAGGTAATATAAAAGGGAAAGAATGCCAAAAACTATAGAGTATTATAAAATCCTTCAGGGTCTCCCCATAAATTCCAAACCCTTTAGCATGACGTGTAAGATTCCTGTCTGCCTTTTTGGGCTCAGCTTTCTTCAGTGATTCCTGGCCTCCTTGCTCCACGTAGTGGATTAGAAATGCCTGTGTGGTCCCATCTCTCTGGCAAATCCCTGATTCCACTCACAGAGGTAGACTTTTGTTTGTTTGTTTGCTTTTGAGACGGAGTCTCTTGCTCTACTGCCCAGGCTGGAGTGCAGTGGCGCAATCTTGGCCCACTGCAACCTCCCCCTCCTGGGTTCAAGCGATTCTCCCCCCTCAGCTTTTCTGAGTAGCTGGGATTACAGGTGCCCCCCTACCATGCCCAGCTAATTTTTGTACTTTTAGTAGAGATGGGGTTTCGCCATTTTGGTCAGGCTGGTCTTGAACTTCTAACCTCAGGTGATCCACCCACCTCGGCCTCCCGAAGTGCTGGGATTACAGGCGTAAGCCACTTCACCTGGCTCGATGGAGCACCTTCCTGTTCTTCTCTGTGACTAATTGGTCAAGGAGTGCACACCTGACCCAAGTCTAGGATCAGATTCTCCTGGCTTTCTTTTAGGATTACAGACTTCTAACCAAAACAGAGACTTGGAAAGGTGTGTGAGTCACGTTCATGACAACAGCCTAGAAGGGTCTGAGATGACTGCTGCTCAGGGGCCAGTGCTATCAAGGTTCCTGCCCTTCCTGTGGAATTCAGTTTTTTCTCAGGGTTCTGTAAGATGCTTTGGCACTCTTCCAACAAATTCTTTTTAATCCCAGCCACTAGACCACCAGGGACCAATGGATTCCATTTGTGCTTATGTTAGCTCTGGTTAGCTTGTTACTTACAACACAAATGATCTCAAATAATACAGAAATAGTACAAGGCTTCAGAGGAAATGTGAGGTATTTGGAATTGGTATTCATGTCAAAGTGCAGGGAAAGGAAAGGCATCTTCTCTTCACCATATGGAATGAGCAACTATATTTGTGATACTATATCTGGGATTTGCTTCAAAGTCATCCAGTTAGAGTTGAGAAGTAGGTATGCATATACACAAAGCAAGACTGGCCATGAGGTAATCAGTATTGAAGCTGGATGTCAGATACATAAGGATTCATTATACAATTATCACTATTTTTTCTATACTTCTCTGAAATTGTTTATAGTATAAAGTTTTTAAAAATCTAGTTTTCAGCCAGGTGTAGTGGCTCATGCTTGTAATCCCAGCACTTTGGGAGGCTGAGGTGGGTAGATCGCCTGAGCCCAGGAGTTCAAGATCAGCCTGGGCAACATGGTGAAACCTCTTCTCTACAAAAAATAAGCCAAGCATGATGGTGTGCACCTGTAGTCCCAGCTACTCGGGAGGCTGAAAGGCTAAGAACTGCTTGAGCCTGGGAGGTCCAGGCTGCAGTGAGCCATGATCATGCCACTGCACTCCAGCCTGGGCAAAAGAACGAGACCCTGTTTCAAAAAGAAAGAAAGAAAGAAAGAAAATCTAGTTTCACTTAGAACCATATGTTGTTTGGGGGTGAGACATTGGGAGACTAGATAACTGTCATGGTAGAATAAAGAGGATGAGGAATATGGAATGAGAGAAAAATGGATAATTTAAAGCAAGACAATATGAAACTCAGATGCCAGAATATGAAAGGCATTAAAATATAGGGCCACCATTTTTAATAAATCTTATTCCATCTGTGACCCTCAAGTTCATAAATTGATCCTGTAGGTTGCTGAATTGCAACTCCAGTTGGATTAACATTGCTGCCAGTCTTTTATACAAAATCTAGGGCATTGACTAGGAAAGAGGGGGATCTTGGAATTATATGTATGTGGGGAACAGACAGAACTGAAGAAATCAGACTCCCCCAAGTCTTTTAAAAAGGTTACTATCGTGTCCCTTTGCCTAAGGAAAACAGAATTCCACTCCTATGCTCTGTGTCCTACTGTGTCTTCCTGTGACAAAGATTCAAATTCAACAAAAGCCAGAAGGCGATGTTTAGAATCAGCAAGCAAGTAATTATACCCTACATTAATTTTTTTTTTTTTTTTTTTTTTTTTTTTTTTTTTTTGAGATGGAGTCTTGCCCTGTCACCCAAGCTGGAGTGCAGTGGCGCAATCTCGGCTCACGACAGCCTCCACCTCCAGGGTTCAAGCAATTCTCATGCCTCAGCCTCCCAAGTAGCTGGGATTACAAGTGTGTGC